TGGCTGCGGCGCCTGTCGCTCGGCGCGGGGGAGGCGGGCCGCTAGCGCCGAATAGCCAATCGGCGCGCGGAGCCCTCTGAGGGCGCCGGGCCCGGCATGCTCTGCGGTGCCGCGCGTGCGCCGTGCTCCGCCCCGCCGCTCCCCTGAGGCGCGGGAGGCGCTGAGGGGCGGCTCGGGACATGGCGGCAGCGCGACTAGAGGCGGTGCAGGGTACGGCACGGCACGGCACGGGCTTCCCCTCCCCGAGAGCGCCCAGCAGCCGCCGCCGCCTGCCGTTGGGCCGCATCTGACGCCTCCCTCTCCTCCTTGTCCCACAGGGCTGGTGCAGGAGTTGCTGAGGGAGGAGGCGCCGTCCCGCATCGCCGCCCTCACCGAGGAGCTCTTCCAGGCGGCGGGGAGCGGCTCCCTCGAGAGCGGGAACCCGGCTGGGCCCCCCCCCGCCGGACCCCTCGGGGAAACGGGGGGTCCCGGCGCCCCACAGCACCCGGCTCCCCTCGCCCAGGTTGGTGGCCGCGGGCCCTGGGGCTCTACCAGTGGCCTCCCGCCTCGGCCCTCAGTATTCCTGGGATGAGGACAAAAGCCTTTGTTTTACTCATCTTTTAACCCAACAGCGTGGAAGTGTGAAATAAAAGAGGGAAATGCTACGTTTAAAAAGTCAATGCGAAATGCTGATGCTAAGTGTAAAAGCGTGCATCGTAAAGGAAAAAGTTGCTGGTGTCTCAGTAGTGCTAAGGCTCTTATTATTTCAATTTTCTAGTAGTATCCAGTTGTAATTTCAAGGGAAAAGGCAAACAGTGCTGGTCCCTTGGGAGTCGGGTACTGGGCCAGAGGAGAGGTCCTTCTCACTCCAATAACCATAGCACATACTTGAGGAAGAAGAAGACAAGATTGTCTTTTTAACTGCCTGGTAAACCCAGGACGCAGTGGGAAGGGAATTAGGTTGTTTACAACGTTTTTAATTTCATTTTTTTCCCCTTTCTGTGTATTTCTTCTAGAGGAGTACTGACAAAGTAGTAAACACTGACTTTAAGAACCCTTTTTCAAACAGAAGTCTGATGAGTAAATTATTTTTCTTTTATTCCATGAATCTGGATTAAAACCAAGACCAGCTGAGGTGGTGTCCAGCTTTTTCCGCCAAAATTATGTTTTGAGGAGAGATTTAACTCGTAACAATTTTCATCTAAGGAAGACTGATTTTGAAAGTCCTGAGCTTGTGACAAGTGGCAAGATAGGTTGGCACGTGTCTCAGCAGAAAGTATGCTGAGTGCAGGCCGTAAAGAAATTACAGGAGTGTAAAACTGGGATCCTTCAGTTCTTCCTGAATCGGTTGGGCTGAATTATTTTTGAAGAAAGGAGAAATCCTTTAATTTGTAATCTGATCTCTTCAATAAAAGGGGCCATAAATTGTCTCCTGGTTAGGCAAGAGCATATTCGTAGCCAAGATCCGCCGTGGAAACTAAGATCTAAAGTGATGGAAAGGGCAGCCCTTCAAGGTGGGTTGATAAAGGAGCTTGTTCATCATCTTTGTAACAAAAGTATATAGTTGGTAGCCTTTGTTCTTTGTTCGCTAATATCAGGAGTTTCCTGATATGCGTAACTTAAATAATTAAACTACTTTGTTTTCTTTTTGACAGGAAAAGAGGTGAGGCCTTACTATAGTTAAGTTTTTAAACCTGATATAATTATTACAGCGCTTTTCCAATTCCAATTCCAATTTTTCAACTTCTATTTAAAATGTAGATAATGTATTCTGAAAGCTGGCAGTGAACCAGTTGTATTTTGGAGGTGGTGATGTGCTATTGAACAAATTCTGTCTCTGTGAGTGTTTGTGAGAAAACTTCATCCCAGATAGACAGGGTAAGTGAGGTTGGGTTTGGCTAAGTTTGGAAGAGGACGTGGTAGAAACAGTAGTTAGGACACTGCAGGAATATGGCAGATTAATGGGATTTGTTTAGGAATGTGTTTGAATGTTTCTAAAGTCCATCACTTACAGAATTTGCTGTTATGATGATCTCGAATTGGCGCATAACCAGTTGTATTTTGGAGGTGGTGATGTGCTATTGAACAAATTCTGTCTCTGTGAGTGTTTGTGAGAAAACTTCATCCCAGATAGACAGGGTAAGTGAGGTTGGGTTTGGCTAAGTTTGGAAGAGGACGTGGTAGAAACAGTAGTTAGGACACTGCAGGAATATGGCAGATTAATGGGATTTGTTTAGGAACGTGTTTGAACGTTTCTAAAGTCCATCACTTACAGAATTGGATGTTCATGCTGTTATGATGATCTTGAATTGGAGCCCTGATGGATGATGTGACGTACATGTGCTACTGGTCATAGGATTAATTAGTTTGTTTTAGTTTGAGATCTTGCCAGCCTGGGAGTTGCACTCACGTTCTTTCTTGCCGTGCTTCATCTTAGAAGTGCTCTCACGTTTTCAGAAGATGTGAAACAGTCTTTTATAAGACTGACTATATCTTATGAACTATACTTATGAAAAGGATATATGCTTCCCACCTGCTGCTTGTAATTCTTCTGAGATGATGGATCTATAGAAAGAATGATCCGTGCTAGTAGCTGAAGGAGTGCTGTGCCATCCATTCAGCACGCCTGTTCTCAGGGCACTGCCCCAAGTCTCCCTGTGGGATCACGTCACAGTTTCATGGAAAACTCACACCTTTGACTCCAGCATAAAAGGAAGTTGTGCAAACGTGTGGACAGGTCATTACTGTGATGCACATGAAACATGGTTCCTTTTCTGGTACTAAATTTCAATGTGACCCAAATCCAGGATAAAATTCAACCTAATGGAATTCTCCTCCTCAGGTTGAAGAGAGCGCAATAAGCCTGTGGAACTGGACTGTGACCAAACACACGGGTTCTGTTGTCAATGATGAGCAAAGAGCTAAACGTACGTATGTCTTCTATACCTTCCTAAATGTCTTTTGTGTGCTGTAGAGGAAAAACTCTCTGCTGACAGCCATACAGGCAGTGCTGTAGATTTGGTCGGATCTTTGAAGCTAGGGTGTGGAGGGAGGAGAGTGCACAGCTGTAGAGCTGGGCTTGTGTGAATGGCTCAGGAGGGAGCATCCTGGTGTAATAGTGGTCTTGTGACACTGGGGCCGTGTGGGCATTCTTATCACTCCCCCTTTCCCAGCCAGAGTGTTGGGAAAGAGGTGATGACACCAAAGGAAGCTGCAATTTACTTCCAATGCGATGGTTTCAATTTAAAAATGTATGGAAATAACATAGATGTAAATTTTATACTGTTGGTCGCTCAATTCACAGAATCACAGAATCTTCTAGGTTGGAAGGGACCTTAAAGATCATCTTGTCCAACCATCAACCTAACTGACAAAAATAGACACCCACACAACAAACAAGGAGCATCATCACTAAACCAGACCTCCCAGCACTACATCAACCCGTCTTTTGAACACCTCCAGGGATGGGGCCTCAACCACCTCCCTGGGCAGCCCATCCCAATGGCTGAGAACCCTTTCAGTGACAAAATTTTTCCTAATATCCAGCCTGAACCTCCCCTGGCGCAACTTGAGGCCATTTCCTCTTGTCCTGTCGCCTGGGACTTGAGAGAAGAGACCGACCCCCACCTCTCTACACCCTCCTTTCAGGGAGTTGGAGAGAGCAATAAGGTCTCCCCTCAGCCTCCTCTTCTCCAGGCTGAATAACCCCAGCTCCCTCAGCCTCTCCTCATAAGACTTATTCTCCAGACCCCTCACCAGCTTTGTCGCCCTTCTCTGGACCCGCTCCAGCACCTCAATGTCTTTTTTATTTTTTTTATTTTTTTATTCATATAAAGCGAGGTTGTTTCTTTAATGTAACAATCTTATCAGTGTTTACATACAGAACTCTAAATGCTCTTAGTTCTCTGCTTTAGCCAGCTATACAGCTGGTGGGTTTGCTTGGAGCTGGGAGCAGGGCTGGGGGAAAGCAGAAGTGAGCTTTTGGTCTTTTCCCTCAATCTGTTCTTTATGTGGTTGTGCAGGATTGCAATATCTGGCCTACATTTTTCTCTTGAGGGATTGCAGTCAAAATTATATATAATCTGCGTCATATAAATTATGTTGGGTAAAGGGAAAAGGGTAAGTTTGCACAAAATAAGTAGTAATTGTAGAGCATAATGTTCTCAGATCTTGTATCACAGCTGAAGGGCCAGGGAGAGGCTATTTTAAATACATTAAGTGGTGTCTTTTCCATCCCTGATGTACAAGGAAGGCCTGAAAATATTTTTGCTTTGCTTTTTACTTTGAAAATGTAAAGATTATTAAACTTCATTTCCCTGTTTTGCTGAAGGCTATTCTGAAGCTCTCAAGACATGTTACTGTAAGCACCTGCAATGTAATTAAGTCTTTGAATACCATGTATTTAACTTAAACTCTCTCCAAAGTGTTTAATAGGTATTTTGATGAGAGTATCTTTTTTTTTTTTTTTTTTTTTTTTTTTTTTTTTTTTTTTAAACTGCCTAAAAAGCAGTTTTGAGCAGCTTGGCTAAAATTCAGGCTGCTTTGACTCCTGAAGCTTTCAAATTTTTCTCTCTTGTAATTTAAGATGGCAAGCAGTCTTTCAGATATGTCAGGGCCTGACTTTCTAAAAACAACAGAAAAAAAAAAACCAAAAAAAAAGAAAGAGAAAAGGGAAGTTAGGAATGTCTGTGTTGTTTTCTTGCAGTACGGTTTGTCGCCTGCAGACTGGTGTGCCTTTGTGAGGGCAGTGATCCTCCGGAGGGAACGATTCGAAGACAGATTTTGGTAAGGCTGGTGGTGCCTGAGCAATGAGGGGCAGTTGATCCCCACAGAAACCTTCAAACCCTCTTAGGGTTGCTTTGGGAAAGGAGTGGGATATAACCTGTAGTTCTGAAGAACAGACACGCTGCCGGGGGGACCTGTACTGTCACAGGGATACCTTGCTCAGCCAGTGCAGGAAGGAATTTCTGGACATTGCGGTTAATAGCACATCTTTGTGATGTAAAATGTTCTATGAGCAGCATATTTATTTATTTCAGTATCTTATCATATGGTGTAGTAGGGCACTGTAAGTCTTATGCTGCATCTAAGTGTTAAGGACTTCATTCAGATGTGAGAGGCACATGTCAGAAACTGAAGACCTGAAATATGAAATACCCTTCTCCCTACGTTCGATATGTGCATCCACGAGACAAGATCTAACATCACCTTTCTTGAAAATGACTGTATTTTCACAAAGTGCTTACAATTTTCTCCTTCAGATGTCTATGAAAACTGGGAAAGGATGGATAGATATTGGAAAAGCTGATCTTGCTGATGGATTTCTAGAGATTGCCATGAATGTAGGTCCTTTTTCCAGTTTTAATTTCTTACAAAGACACCTAATTTGTTAAGTTCCATGGGTGATGCCTATGCTTTGTTTTCCAGAGTATAGAAAAACTGTATGCGAAGTTACTTAAGGGGAGCGATGGTGAAGCAGATATTCACGTGCACAAAGCTGATGTGGAGAAGAATCTCTTCAAAGTGCTCTCTTATCAGGCTGAATCAGTATGTGTTCTTCCCAGTTTTCCTTATAAGTCACTAGGGGTATAAAGCAAAACTCTGACCCAGTTATTACACGTACGAACGCTTGCCGTTGGAGACTTGTTGAGGGATATGTTTCCTTCACTTAGATGTGAGATAGCAGATCTCGTGTTTGCATTCAGTGTTGCAATCATTTAATGATTTTTAATTTGCTCAATTTATCACAGTCATTTCTGCTGGGGTGTTTATATCTTCTAGTTCAGATTTGTTACTTTATGATTTGGCTAGTGTGGCTGTTACGGATACAAACAGCCACCTTTCTGAGTCATGCATCTCTTGGTTCCAAAGGTGTCCTGTGCTTGACTGAAGAAGTGGGATGGGGCTGGTGGAGAGCCTGGGTTCCCCCAAACTGCATTTGTGTAATGTACACAGCAAGACTAGTCACCTTGGAACTCTCATGGTGCTGTGGAAGTGTTTGCAGCTGGGCTGCCTGAACGTGTGTGAAGGTAGTAGCCATCATGGCTACAGATAGCCCAACAAGTCAATATTATAAGCCACGTGTGCAAAGTCTTCTGTAACTTACAACTTTCATGACTCTGCAAGCTCATGAACATCTTCAAAGCTATCAATATTAAATGCCATCAGAGATCTTTCTGTGCACGAATACCCTCTCTCCCGTGACCTCTTGCGTGCTGCTTTCCACATATAAAGGCTTTAAACAGTGGGAGAATCAGTATGAAATTACAAGATCTAGAAATAGTGAGTTCTATGGCATTTGATATTTTCTTTAAAGCCTCAACCTCTGGCATCATACAGTGAGGTGAGAATCATGGTGATAATTATATAAAAAAACCCCACCCTGTGCAATATAAGAGAAGTTTGAAAAAGTGCTAAAGGTTTTCTAGAGGATCAGCAATGCAAATTACAGTAATTCAAAGTATGTAATTTAGAAATTCAAAGCTTTGTGAGCCATTGTTATACTTGCCTGAAGTTTCTGAGTATTTCTCAATGCTATAGAGTATTACAGACATGGAATCATAGAATTGTCTGGGTTGGAAGGGACCTTGAAGATCACCTGGTCCAACCATCAACCTAACTCTGATAAAACCCATCACTAACCCATGTCTCTAAGCACTATGTCAACCCAACTTTTAAATCCCTCCAGGGATGGGGCCTCAACCCCTTCCCTGGGCAGCCCATTCCAAGGCTTCATAACCCTTTCTGTGTCAAAATTGTTCCCAATATCCAGCCTGAACCTCCCCTGGGGCAACTTGAGGCCATTTCCTCTTGTCCCATGGCCTGTTCCTTGGGAGAAGAGACCGACCCCCCCTGGCTACACCCTCCTTTCAGGGAGTTGGAGAGAGCGAGAAGGTCTCCCCTCAGCCTCCTTTTCTCCAGGCTGAACACCCCCAGCTCCCTCAGCCTCTCCTCATAAAACCTATTCTCCAGAAATATAAGAAAATGTAGCTGCCTGCATTTATTCATAACACCACTGCCCTCAGTATCTAGAAGGGCAGTACTGTCTCCAAACGAAGAGGTTCCCTAAACACGCCAAAGCAGTGGCTGAAATTTTTCATTTTATCATGGAAACAAAAGGTGACCTTAAATTACTGTAGAGGTGGTTTAAGATTTGCTGAGCTGTTGTATCATCTGAATGAAATTGTCCCATGCATTTGGCCTTTTTATGCTACCTGCAGCGCTTTTCTGAGTGTCTTTGTCATCTGGCAATGTATAGATATATGCAGAATTCTTGTAACACTGTAAGGACAGATATCTAATCCCAAACCTAGCTTTACTGAATGTGAAAAACCCAAGTCCTGTTTTAGAGAATCAGTCTTTTCCTGAATTTGAAAGCCAAGTTGCTCACTGACTGTTTGTTGGCATGTTGCTTAGGCAGTTGCTCAAGGGGATTTTCAGAAAGCGGTGATGTGTGTGCAGCGCTGCAAAGAGATGTTGATGAAATTACCAAAAGAGGTAAGTGAAATCATCCTGTCTTTATCATTCCAAACTTGGAAAATCTGCTTTCCTCTCATGTTAAAGAATGACATATGCCATAGAAAATTTTTGAAAAGTACTCTCTTCTGTGGTTGGTTCCTTCTTTGAGAGTTTCTTACTGAAAATTTTGCATTAAACAGCAGATTTTTTTCTTCCCAATTAATTTTTTTCTTCTTTCTCATGGTTTATCATTCGAAATAGAGTGATAAACTCTTCCTAAAGAATGAGAGAAGACAAATCAGCAAGCAAGGCAAAAAGATTTCTCAGCTGGATACACCACCTACTCTTCTACAGAACCAGCTGCGTTTTACATCTTGATCTTGTATTTTGCTTTTTCACTTGTATCCATGGGGAGTTTTGTCTGGAGATGGTACAAGAGAAGAGCTGTGTTTTTTGTAGTTCTTGTGTCAGAGAACAATGTGCAGAGAAAACAAACTCTAGCATATGCAGACCAGTTCTTTGTTTACAAAGATGAAAGTTGAACATGTTTATATCAGAATATCCTTCCCCGTATCGATTTTCATTTCTTTTAATGTTTTCCCAATAGTTAGGAAACGTTTTGTTCCTGTCTCTGTGGTACAGATAATGAAATTCAACGGGGGTAGATTAGAATTCTGAAAGGGAAATATCGTTGGAATTTGATTGGGTGAAATATGGCTGGAATTTCATTGGCTTTTTAACCAATTAAACTCCCACCGGTTTTGAATTGGCTTTTTGTGATCTGCTGGCCTTGTTCAGTGCATCTGAGTGCAGTGTGGCAGTCAGCTGCAGGGCTCTGGCTTTGATTTGAGTCACAAAAGCAGAGCTTCTCACTGTGAATTGTTGAAAATTCTCACTGGGATCTTTGCATTACTGTTACTTGTTTCATTTTAAATTAATTTCACGTTTTCTGCTTAAACTCCTCCATTAAATAATATTAAACTTCTCACAATGAACGCTCTTCACAAACCAGGAGCACTGATGCAAGCAAGGAAAAGGTTTCTGATCATGAGAGATACGATTTACTCCTGGTTTAAAGAGCAGTGTTTAAACAGTGAGAAAAAATAAAACGAACTAGTGATTGCTGAGAGACTGCAAAACTTTTGGACCAGTAGGTAGCCATCAGTCCTTAACTCTTCTGGGCTCCAGTTGTATCAGTGGGCACTGGCAGAGTATCAGAGTATCAGAGGAGGTGGTTGTGTTGTGGTGTTGCACGGTACCACAGAGCAGCTGGAGAGGATTTGCAGCTTGTGGGTCTCCAGTGGTCTATGAACCATAGGGGGGAACCCTTGCCCTACAGGGTGAAATGCCAAGAATTGTTCCAACCACGTGTTGTTCAGAGAGGTCCCAGGTTTATGGGGATATTGAGTGTTAACACTTGTCCTTAACTCTTCTGGGCTCCAGTTGTACCAGTGGGCACTGGCAGAGTATCAGAGGAGGTGGTTGTGTTGTGGTGTTGCACGGTACCACAGAGCAGCTGGAGAGGATTTGCAGCTTGTGGGTCTCCAGTGGTCTATGAACCATAGGGGGGAACCCTTGCCCTACAGGGTGAAATGCCAAGAATTGTTCCAACCACGTGTTGTTCAGAGAGGTCCCAGGTTTATGGGGATATTGAGTGTTAACACTTGACACCTGGAACGCAGTCATTCACTGAAATAGTATTTTAATTATCCTTTGAAATAATTCTCTCCCAAGCATGCAAGTGAACGGGGTATGCCACAGGACGCCTGCAGAGCTATGCTAAACACTTTGCATGAAGCCCTCTCAATACAGTAAACTTTCTGTTCTAGAAAGAAAACATTCACAAGTGAACTTACCAAAAGTAAGGGTTTAACATCTGAGAGCACGTTTAACATCTGAGTGCACCGAATCTCTGCTTTTGTCTCTGGATTGCAACGAGATAAACCAGAAATTTGAAGCAAGATGTTGTGCTACCTCTCTCATTCTTGTTTGAGGATTTGAAATCTGTAGTCACTTGCAAAAAGCACCATTTATACTTGGAAAAGAAAGTTGCTGCAGAGGCAAAATGAATGTAAATATTGGCAGCCTGTTAGCATATAAAATGACTTTTCTGTCTCCTTTGGCTGACGCGTTGTTGTGGTTTAGGCTGAATTGGCCTATGACAGTGACAGATGCTCTCCCCCTACTTCTCGCTCCGGGACAAAAGGAGGAGAGATAAAGAGGTTTATGAGTTCAGAATGAACTAAATTACTTTAATGAAATATTAATATTAAAATTAAAAAGGAAGTAATGAAATAGATACAATATATACAAAACTGTATCAAGCTCCCAGGATGATGTCACCAGCAGGCACTGGGGAAGGCCCAGCCTGGACTCAGCGAGGGATGGGAACTGGATTCCAGCTCTGGAGTCAGGAACACACGGATGGGGATCAAAGGCAGATGAACAGACAGAGTCCTCTTTGGTTGTCTGCCATTGAAGAAAGAGCTTGGCCTTTGATCCCTCAGCTTTTACATGGAGCAGATGGGACGGTCAGGTTTGGGTCCCCTGTCCTGTCCCCTCCTTCCCACAGGTGGGACCCCTCTACTCTTTCCTCTTTCCAACCCTCCTACACAGCAAATAAAATGATCTGGCCTTGGCTGTTATGGCAATAAGTATGAGCAAGAGCCTGTCTGCATACCATTCCTTGGCATGGAGTACAAACATTGATCTTATCATTCCGAGAATGAGCAATTTTCTCCACAATATGCCAGTAATTTCAGAGAGTTAGAAGAGGCCTTGCTAGGATGTAGAATTACTGAGCAGAAAGATCCTCTGGTTTGTCTCAAACCGGGAGACATGTGACAGCTGCAAATAATTTCAAAGGAAGTGCAAGTTGTTATGAATAGATATTGTCAGGACTGACTGATAAAACAGAAGGCAACAGTGCTCTGAATAATGAAGCATTCAGAAACATTTTCCTAAAACTTGTAATATGGATCATCCTTTTTTAACCCTAAAGAGGCACGCTTGGAAGAAGCCTGCTATGGAAGAGGCAGTCCACTTAACTATATAAAACTTTTTTGTCATTATTAACAATGAATTGGTAATATTCCAGTTTTTCCTCTCAAGCTTTAATTTTTATTGTTTATTTTACACAGTCCTAGTGCTATTACTGTGATTTCTTGAGGAACTGTTCTGACTCATGTGGTTCAAGAATCCTGGTGTTTTGTGTGTCCTGGGCTGGCTAATGATGCTTCTCTTTCCCACACAATTATGATTCCATTTTAGTTATGTTCAGTATCTCCTTGTGTAAGATCAGAAGTGATAACAGTGGATATCTCTTTAAAGTAAAGTGCATTTTAAAGAACCTCAGACTGCAGTGTCATAGTTCCAATGATGTTTCTACAAGAACACTGTAGAAGCACGAGTCTCTGTTTTGCAGGCATGTTACCTGTCAATCCTCTGTTACAATTTTGGAGTGGAAACCTATGAACGGAAGAGGTATGAACACAGCTCCTTCTGGCTCAGGTAATATGCAAAGAGAAAATAAAATCCTGCCTTTGAGATATAAAAATATGTGTGATGGTGAGGGGGGAGCAAGAGAAAGTAGGGGTTTAATTAAAAATGTAAGAATACAAGATTCTTTCCGTGGTTCTTCTCAGTACTCTCCCTAACACGTCTTCCAAAGAGATTACTGTTACAAAGTAACAGTAATCTCTTGTTCTTGTGCCATTCATAAATGATCATGAAGGGATTTGAAGATTTTGGAAAAGGGTAGATGGATTCCTCTGACCGGTTTTCAATGGATTTGTTTTAAAGAGTATTTCTCACAAAGGAGGTGCTTCATTGAGAGGAAGATATTGACTGATGAAAGACCCAGACATCAAAGTAAAAGAGGAATAGATAGAGGTGGTTTGGGTAGGATCCAAATAAGTGTTGTGGTACTGCTAAAGAAGAAAACATGTAGGCTATCAGGAAGAATATCCTTGTGCCAAGGTCACAGCCTCGGCTCAGAAAATTTGTTTTCATTTCTTCATCTTTTTCTTTTAAATAGTCAGAAGAAAATGAACAGCAACATATCAAATTAAAGATAGTTGTGGTCACATATGTTACCAAAGAGGATTTGTAGAAATTCTAAGGGTTAATTGCAGATGGTGCTTTGCAGATAATTTTATATTTTATTCTTGGGTAAAATTAAATACTGAGTCCTGATGACAAAATTTGAGGAGGAAATAAACCTTGGCAAAGTGCATATAATTATCTGGAGAAGGAGATGTAGCTTCATCTAGTGGGTTAAGATTTCTCTGTACTGAGAACATATTAGATTAGGGAACAAATATCCAGTTACTGTTTTTCTTTCTAACAGTTTTTAATTCACAGCATTTGCAATCAAATCTGGTTTTGTGGAATTACTACTGCATTTTTTCCTAGATGATCCTTTGTGTTGTCACTTAGCTTTCAGAAAAAAAGAATGGGGAACTCTCAGTTTCTGTTTTCTGTCTCTGCTATAGATTGCTGTGGTCTTGAGATCAGGTCATGTATAACTTCTGTGTGTGACTTTATTATATGTCAGGTGGGAGTGAGAACACTTGCTTCTTCAAACCTCCTGTGGTTAAAACTGATAAAGTGCACTGAAATGTGCGAATAGAAGATGTTACAGAAGGTGGTGCAACAGCTTAAAGAAAGTGATTGAGTATGATTTTTAATGTGAGGATTTAGAAAACAAAATTTTCTGTTCTCTGGTAAGGGTGAATACTGAGAATAGTTTGTGTGATTTACGTGGTTTCTAACTGGTTAGAAGTGGGAAAGGAAAGGAATGTTGCATTTATCAGAAGACTGGTTGTATTTATCCTGGTCATCCCATTTAATTCGAACTTTCACTTGATAGCCAGAGTTATGACATCGGGAAGATGGACACGAAGCATTCTGTTGGCAAAGAAATGCAGGTAAGAAATAGAAAAATTGCTGATTACAAATAGGAGGATTTTGTTAACGTGATTCCACTGTATCATCTGCCTCTGCTGAGGCAAACCTGACCATGACTCTTTGGCCTCCTCGTTAGTGCTACCTGCTATGGAATGTGGCAAAGTTGCAAGTTTAGTCGCTATGAGTGGCAGTCTGAGAGTTCAGTCACGGATGGGTGCCCTTAAATCACTTTTGAATCCAGTATTTCACAGAAATTAAATTGCAGAAAGTAAGGCTGAAGTAGACCCTGAAAGGCCATCTCTTCTTCCCTTTCCCCTCTTCTCTCAAGGCGACATCTGTGTCATTTCTAATAGATGTTAATCTGTCTCATTGATAAGCCTATTGCTCTTTTTACTGCCCACAGTAGGTATGGAGATGTTAATATCTTCCTCTTTATATGAATTATTTATGTGTTTGACAGCCATTATCATGTGTTGTCGTGTTGGTTTTTTTTTTCCCACTGAAGTTTGTACTTCCTGTTTCTTTGGTTTCTTTTTTCATTCTTTATTTTCCAGATCTCTGATTTTCCTTGCTACCCTTCTGTTCTCCTCTGAACTCTAGTTGATTCATGTCCTGTGGGAATTGCAGTGCTGAAGACTGGATATGCTTCAGAACTGAGCAATCACTTTATATACTGCTAAAGGAGTATGCTGCCTAAGCACTCACACGCCATTCCTGGTGTGCACACACACACACACTCCTGGGTGTGCTTCCTCCTTCTTCAGGCTTGACCCTCGGTTGTGTCAGGTGTTGAATTTTATAAAATAATCGATTTAATTGAAAGGTACAGCAGCAGAGTCGTCCCGGGCTGGTGCTTCCAAAGAGAGGATTCCCAGACTTGGGAAAAACACTGCCAAGCCATCAGTGTGATATCAGTATCTTTCCCATCCTAAGAGCCTAACCCCCGTGCTGTACCAGCTGCTAGGAAAATTGCTGAGAAAAATAACTCTGCCATGGCCTAAAGGGTTCAGCACATCTAGCCACTCGTGCTAAGTAAAGCTAGGCAAACAACACAAATCACACCATATTGTAATCTGAAGTAATTTATTCTAATTAAAACTTATTTATGCTAAACAACTAATATCCCTCAGTAATACCAGACAGGTATTCCTTTGACTCCAAGAGCTATTATTTTTCATTGCCTTAGATCTTTTGTATTCTTTTGTATTCATACGTATGCTCGTGCCTGGCTGGGTTGGTTTTTTCTGCTCTTCAGATGGTATTTAAACTTCCAGGTTGTTTTTCTTTCCAGGCTAAAGTGCTGCGCTTGTTAGCTACAGCCTATTTCGAGTGGGATTGCAGTCTGTATCTTGACAAGGCATTGAAAGCCATAAGCTTGGCAAATCAGGTACTAGTGTGTTATTGTATTTCTGGTGTGTGACAGTTGAAACTCAAGCATTTATTTACCTAACAGTATGGACACATAATCACTGGTGTGTTCTGCTTGACATCAGACAGAGGTGTGTTTGCATTGCTTTGTTTTTGGTACTCCTAGGTACATTTTGGTGTTTCCATCTTTTTTATAGAGAAACCTTTCTTTGCGTGTAGATGTAGAGCTGTCTTGCTGCCTCATATCTATTGATAGTGATGTCCTTTGATAATGATATGACTAAATCTCTGGCAGGTCTTCATGAAAACTGTACAAACAGAATAAACTACAGTGTCGTCCACTTGAGATTTATAGTAGCTGGGGTTTTATGCACCAGACCTTTTGTCTTCCATTGGGTAATAATGGATAACCATTTAGGGCCACGAAAATGATCAGAGGGCTGGAGCCCCTCTGCTGTGAGGACAGGCTGAAAGAGTTGGGGTTGTTCAGCCTGGAGAAGAGAAGGCTCTGGGGAGACCTTATAATGGCCTTCCAGTACCTGAAGGGCCTACAGGAGAGATGGGGAGGGACTCTGGATCAGGGAGGGGAGCCATAGGATGAGGGGCAATGGGTTGAAATTGAAAGAAGGGAGATTTAGATTAGACACTAGAAAGAAATTCTTCACTGTGAGGGTGGTGAGAGCCTGGCCCAGGTTGCCCAGAACAGCTGTGGCTGCCCCATCCCTGGAGGGGTTCAAGGCCAGGCTGGATGGGGCTTCGAGCAACCTGGTCTGGTGGGAGGTGTCCCTGCCCAGGGCAGGGGGGGGGACTGGATGATCTTTAAGGTCCCTTCCAGCTCTAACCATTCTGTGCTTCTCTGTCCATGCTATGTTTTGAGTCCTCATCTCATTATCTGTACAAGTATTTGAGCAAGTGCCAGAGGTCAGTTTTGAACGCTGTGTAGCCATGCCACATCAGTCTTATTTCAAACAATTAATTAAGCTATTGCACTTCACTAACATTGCTGTATTTCTCCTGGAACCTGAAAAATGAGCTGTATAAACATACCAGCTACCCTGAAAAAGTTCATTTATCTCTAAGCAGTCACTACAGTGGGGTCCCTTGCACTTGTATAAATTCCTCTTCCCCCATAAAGATTTGAATTGCTTTTGTGCCTCTGTCTTTTCAGGTTAGTTAGAGTAACTTCAGTTTGAAAAAATTACATTTGTCTTTGGTTGACCATTTTAAAATTTCCATTATCTGTTCATACAAAACACATTTTAAGTATAAAGTCCTGCTTTAAATGAAAGCTTAGATTCAGTTTTCTACATGCTGTTAAAACTTTCAGACAGATGATGATGCACTTGCTCATGAGATCACGTTCTAAAAGGCAGTGTATTTTAATCACTCAAATAAGATGCTACTACAGTATCTAAGCCCTTTGCAGCTTTTGTTGTATTTACTTTTGCCATACCTTTTTGAGGTGGAAAGTGTTTTTATCATAGTTTCTGATAATGTATGTTTTCTGATTGTATGAAGGTGTGGAAAGCTAGAAGAAAATTTTTATTCTAGAGTCTGAAATGTGCAGTGTTTTAGCAAGAGCCGTATTATACAGTCTTCATTATTTCCATTTGCTCCCATTGTTGTTCTTTCCTAAATTTCTTCTTATTATAAGCTACTTTGAATTCTGCTCGTATTAATTCTAGAGAAACCCAGCCAATTCACACACAGAAGAGCAGGAAATGTTTCTATCATTTGATATTTTTTTAAGCTTCTATTTAAAAGTATTGGAAATGGGCCACAGCAAAATAAGAATCGTGTATCTCTTACTTTCATTGTCTTCACTGTCTTTTGGCAGTATAAGAATAAATAATAAAGATGCACATTTCATTTAAGAATAAAATATTGCTAGTTGCCTACCTATTGCTTCAGTCATTAAAATGGAACTGAGGAGCATGGTGGACTGTATGTGATTTCCTGATATTTGGCTGTGTTATAAATGTGCTGGATTCTCACGGGACCTGCATTCTACAAACAGCTGTCCAAATAATGTCTTGTTTTTCAATGTGCAGGAGAATTTGCATCCAGCAGGGTGTTTTTTGAAAATAAAAATTCTCCTTAGAAGTGGAGCATCGGATGAAGATATCAACTCAGGTATCACTACTCTGTGAATAGGTTTCACAGTGAGGTCACACAACTGTATATCCAAGAAGATAGCCTGAGTTGCAGATAGAAAAGGAAAAAATAAATCCCTTTCTCGTGTGCTTTAGAGGAATCTTGATTAGCTAAATGTCATTCTGGTTTTAGAGAGTGAGACACAGTAGTCAGTGTTCACAGAGGAGTTTACCAGGTACTAATGTAAGTTTCAATTAAGCATGTTTTAATTTTTGTTGAGAATTTAAATAGACTTGCTGGAAATAGGGAAGGGGGAAGACTCTGAAGCCTGTTAGAATGAAGGCAGTGACAACAGTAATGTAATGGTATGGATTGTTTTAAACATATGCCTAAGGTTTCTGAAAAAGGGTGAAGGTGGATTGTCTGTTATGCAGTCAGCATAGAAGAAGGGCTTGTGAAACATTGCTGTTTTCTGTGTGATTTTGCAGATTTTGGCCAGGATACATCAAGTGTTGGTCAGTGTGTTGTTGTAAACGGGTGTTACCGGAGTTTGTTTAGTTTATCTAGGGCATATAAACTCTTTTCTCCTCATTCCTCAAACTCGTCATTTGAAGAGAACAGATTTTTTCATTGGCATGAGAAAAAAAAAGAAAGTTTTCAGGGGGACTTCAATTTAGAAAGGGTAATGTATCAGGAGAAATTTATTTCCGTAAATAATGAAATCTTATGGAAGAGAGGCTTTGTATTCTTCATGGTTGGAAAGCGTCAGATGCGTAGTGGATGCTCTGAGAAGCAGATATAGGATGAGATGAGGATTTTCTTGCAGAGAGGTGAATGGTTTGAATACTGCCAGACTAGCAGGAATGAAAACTCCTGGGGAATTTCAGCTGGCTTTCAAGTGGACAGTTATTCAAAACATACCATTGAGATAGTTGGCTTCTGTACTGTGCTTTGAATTGTGGAAGCCGTAGTGCTGCCACACTCTGCTTATATTTAGTAGCACTAAGACTCCAGTCAGTTTTCCAACAAGTTTATTAGTGGGTGGATGTGTGTCTTTTCTTGTACGGCTGGCAGAAGAGAGTGTTGTGTCCATGCACTGCACCTTCTTGTTCTTTTGAGTGAAGGCTCCTGCTAAGTTTTTGGTGTTTGACCAAAATCTCATGTTGTGCACTTGTACACTGGTGCCTTAGAAATGCTTCCTTTAACAACTGTGACAGACATGTCCCTCTGTGTTCCTTCTCTGATCTCATCCAAGCTACGAGTGTATAAACCTTGTTATTAATCATCCAGCACTGTCTAGCAATTTTAAAACTTTATCTGAGTTGTCTCAAACTGATACCTATTTATCAGCACTAGTCAATTCAACAGCTGATGCTAAAGCTGTGGAACCATTGCCTGAGCACTGCCCTCAGTCTTAAGTGGTTCCTGCTGGATAAAGATGAGACATTTTGATGGAAAGCAACTTGAGGCAAAAGTTTGTACTACCAAGACCTGTGCTGTTCCTGTTTAAAGAGACAGAGGGGCTAGAATTCCAGGGCTAGTCACCTTTCTGTGGGACTGTATTAATTGTAAAGTGAAAGGCAAGTCAAAGCACAATAGACATGTTTTATTATTTCTTTTGTTCTTTTCTATTAGAACTATTATATTGGAGGAGGTTTGGGTTGGTGTTTTTTTAATTCCAAGAAGCTGTAAGACATAAATGGTAAATTGAGCAGTTAAGTGTCAGAGTTAATTAAATAATCTCAACTGCTTTGTGTTCTGTCTAGCTGTTGCAGAATTCCTGCACCATGAGATGTCTTTAGACTTTTGTTTGAACACTGCCAAACTGCTGCTGGAGCACGGAAGGTAGGAAAGCATTGCTAAGTGGGGTGAACACAATATTTGGGCTTTGTAGGTGTTTTTTTATAAGCAAAGAACATCAATTATAGAATGATGCTTTGTTTTAAATAAAAACTCATAGAGGTAGGTAAACAGTTTTGAGAAGGAACCTGTCTTTTTGTAGCAAGGTGATACAGGTTATGGCAGCAGCAGAACATGGTGTGAAATAATGTTGAGTGGCAATTTACAATGCTGTAGCCTTACTTTGAAATGATCATATTCTCCTAATGTAGTTTTAATATATATATCACAGAATCACAGAATCTTCTAGGTTGGAAGGGACCTTAAAGATCATCTTGTCCAACCGTCAACCTAACTGACAAAAATAGACACCCACACAACAAACAAGGAGCATCATCACTAAACCAGACCTCCCAGCACTACATCAACCCGTCTTTTGAACACCTCCAGGGATGGGGCCTCAACCACCTCCCTGGGCAGCCCATTCCAATGGCTGAGAACCCTTTCAGTGACAAAATTTTTCCTAATATCCAGCCTGAACCTCCCCTGGCGCAACTTGAGGCCATTTCCTCTCGTCCTGTCGCCTGTGACTTGAGAAAAGAGACCGACCCCCATCTCTCTACCCCCTCCTTTCAGGGAGTTGTAGAGAGCAAGAAGGTCTCCCCTCAGCCTCCTCTTCTCCAGGCTGAATAACCCCAGCTCCCTCAGCCTCTCCTCATAAGACTTATTCTCCAGACCCCTCACCATCTTTGTCGCCCTTCTCTGGACCCGCTCCAGCACCTCAATGTCTTTTTTATGGTAGGGGGCCCAAAACTGGACACAGCACTCGAGGTGAGGCCTCACCAGTGCCGAGTACAGGGGGACGATCACCTCTCGGGCCCTACTCCCCACGCTGTTCCTGATACAGGCCAGGATGCTGGGGGCTTTCTTGGCCACCTGGGCACACTGCTGGCTCCTGTTCATATATGAAGTAATATATATATGAGTCTGGAAATACCTGACTGAAATCTGTCTTCCATATCAAATAACCAACCCTCAGAATGAAAGAGTTCGGAGTCCTAGAATCATTTTTGTGAAAAGCAGTGTCAGGATGAACAAGTTACTGCCAAATAAATGGAGGCTTGAAATGTCACACTGCTGAATGCTCCCTCATTACCTATGTGTGTGCTTCTGTCTTGCAGTGTGCTCTCACTCTTTCATCCTGAGGAGTAAGCTCTCTTGTGAATGCTGTAGAACAAGCGTGTGCTAATAGGAAGCTCCTACTGAATAGATGAAGTGAAGTAAATTCATACCTTGACTCTGTCAGTGGGATTGTGTACCAGTGGTATGAATGAGAAACATGCGGTATGATGTGAATATGTTATTTTGTAGAATGGAAAATTAACAGCTCTTCTTGTGCAGCCTTTTAAAAATGCATCTGTGTGAATAGGGAGTCAGTCGGGTTTGATTTTCTGAAATCTGTTGCTGAACGATTTGAATCTTCACCTGACCTTGGAAAAATTACCCTGCTCCACATCGAGTTCCTGCTGCAGAATAAGAGGGAGCTTCTTGCTAAGCAAAAGGTTGAAGAAATTATTATAGGTCTGTATCCATCTTTTGCTGCTGTTCACTGAAAGTTAGATTTAGTTGGCTAACCTGTTGAATTGTGATTTTCACTTTTCTGCTTATGCTCATCTTTCTTTGTTTCTTTTGCGCAGCAACTCTCAACTTTGGTAATGAATGACAGTCATGGTAAAGCTCAGGGTTAAATTCACTTGCTAGAACAGTTCCTTCTTCTGAGTCAAGACTGTGTGTGACCGATACATGACATGTGGGATTAGAAACATTTATGAGAAGTTCTGCATAACGTTAATACTTTGTCCATCCAGCCCAATGTGGTTTTGCCTGTCGGTATGAAAAAGGGTTGCAGATCCTTGTGTGAGCAGCTGAAGAACAGTTTCAGGTCTGTTGCACCTGTAGCACTTTTTGACTGTCAGATCTGCTGGAAATCAGACCGTATTTTATGTAGCATGGAGCTAAGTGCAAGACCCACATGTACATTGTTCAAACCTGAAAATATTTATTCTCTTACCCACCATTTTTTTTTGGCGGGGGGGGGTGTTGTTTGGTTGTTTTTTGTTTATTTGGTTTTTGGCAGGGTACGAAACAGAATCACAGAATGACAGAATCACAGAATCTTCTAGGTTGGAAGGGACCTTAAAGATCATCTTGTCCAACCGTCGACCTAATTTTGACAAAAATAGACACCCACACAACAAACAAGGAGCATCATCACTAAACCAGACCTCCCAGCACTACATCAACCCGTCTTTTGAACACCTCCAGGGATGGGGCCTCAACCCCCTCCCTGGGCAGCCCATTCCAATGCCTGAGAACCCTTTCAGTGACAAAATTTTTCCTAATATCCAGCCTGAACCTCCCCTGGTGCAACTTGAGGCCATTTCCTCTTGTCCTGTCGCCTGTGACTTGAGAAAAGAGACCGACCCCCATCTCTCTACACCCTCCTTTCAGGGAGTTGTAGAGAGCAATAAGGTCTCCCCTCAGCCTCCTCTTCTCCAGGCTGAACAACCCCAGCTCCCTCAGCCTCTCCTCATAAGACTTATTCTCCAGACCCCTCATCAGCTTTGTCGCCCTTCTCTGGACCCGCTCCAGCCCCTCAATGTCTTTTTTATGGTAGGGGGCCCAAAACTGGACACAGTACTCAAGGTGAGGCCTCACCAGTGCCCAGTACAGGGGGACAATCACCTCTTGGGCCCTACTCCCCACGCTGTTCCTGACACAGGCCAGGATGCTGTTGGCTTTCTTGGCCACCTGGGCACACTGCTGGCTCCTGTTCACACCTGGGTCCTGGCTGAAACCGATGCTGTGTCAGTGCTTTTTGTTGTAGGCTGTGGGACAGTCTTTCTCAGATAGTTCTGAAGTGTTTCTCAGTGTGCTTCTTAAAGTTCCTGTAAGGTGATGACTTGTCATATCTTTTCAGGTCATTATACTGGGAAACAGCTGTTGCCTGAAGCCTTGAACCGGCTGCACATCATCTTGTGGGACAGAGCTGCCAAACATTATGAGGTTTGGGACCAAACAGTAGTGTTATTTGTATCAGTGAAAATGAAGATCTGCTTTTTCTGATCCTTGTGGTATATCTGGTTTTGGTCAGAGTGCTGGGTGTTACTAAGACCCCCGTTCCAGTTAGCACTAGTTTTGTTTTCATCCAGCTGGCTGCTGTTCTCCATCACAGCATCAAGTTTCAGGTATCCTCATCTCAGGGTTTGTTCATGGGAACAGTTATGGCCAGAACTGATCAGCCAAGAAACCTGTGCAGCCCATCATTCTGCTTCTCTCCTGGAAAGGAGCTGTTTATTTTACAATTCCTACTGACGGTCAGTTGTTGCTTTAAGGAGCGTGAGGTGTTAACATTTGTACATTCATTGTAGCCTATATATAAAGTAGCTTTGGATGCTTACATTGTATCTTAGTTCATACACATTCCTACTGTGAGCATATATAAGTTCTGTTATTTAAAACCAGATACCTTTTTATTCTTTCAGTATTTGGAGAAGATGAGCTTATGTTCTCCTCTTGTATTTCTGTCATACGCTCGTTTCTGGAACACATAATGAAAAACACGTGCCATTTTATTCACTCTCATCTGTGTAGTCAAGAAGGAATTTTGCTGATGACCCAGCTTTCTTCCTCCTCATTTTAAAACAGAATCTCTGTCCAAACTGGAACAATAGTTGGGAGTACGATCTTCAGCATAGTATCATCAAGGTTCACAGTCTAAATGGAATAAACACTTTTGTCTTTTTCTCATAGTTCCAATTGCTTTGTGTCATGAAGAGAGATATCTTTTGGAAATAATATTTCTGGTTTTGGAAATAATATTTCTGATGAAATATTTCTTATTACATCGTAAGAATGACCTTTCTGGGTCAGATGAATGACGCATCGAGCCCAGTGTCCTGTCTTTGATAACGGCCGTAAGAATCAGGGAAGAGTAGGAGTTGGTGCAGTGCCAGTTCTCCTAATGAATATTCCCTGTGTTTTGGGACGAATGATTGCTCTTCTGGGAAAAAGGTTACACTAGAGTATACTTGATTATCTAAATCTTTGATTTCCTTTGACCTTTTAAAAAAAATTTGGGATGATACTAGCAGTTCAATCACCCAAATAAGGATGTGTATGTTTTTTCGGTTTATTTTATGTTGGGTTTTTTGTTTGTTTGTTTGTTTTTTGTTTTTTTAATTTCTTAGGCAAAAAGTTACTCTGATGCTCTTCACTGGTACAATTATTCTGTCAGCTTCTACACACCTGGGCAGATAGATCAGAACTTGGCTAAGCTGCAGAGGAACATGGCTTCTTGCCATCTTCATCTGAAACAAATTGACAAGGTATGGATAATGGATATGTATACAAATTTATTTATTTATTTGCATTGTTTATATTTTTATAGTTATGTCATTGGGACTTAATTTACATTTACATTAAGTCTAGGCCTCTGCTTTCAGGGTGTTAAACTTCACAGTGCAAAGTGACGGTAGGGAATTTAATTTTTTGGCATTCTTGGGGCTTCTCTTGTTTCCTGATTTTGTAGCTCTAATTTTGAGGAATTGGCTTTTTCCACAGTCCGGTCACTGTCAGCCTTTGGTGCCATCTTCTGCTCTCTTCACTTTGCTTTCCAAGGAAGATGTTGCCAAACCAAACTTCTCAAGTAATTATAATATTATATCTTGAGTAAAAATAATAAATATCAACAATGTAACCATGATTTGCTTTAATCTCTTCTGTGAATAGGCTAAAGAGGCAATTAAAGAAGCAGAAAGGTGTGATCCAGACAGCATCTTTACTAAATTCAGTGTCTATAAGATTGCAGTGATGGAGAAAGATACTGAAAAAGGTAGAACTTAACAGATAAAGGGTCTGCTACAAGGAGCAGAAGTGCTAAATGTATTAGAAAATACGAAGCAGATTTGAACTGTTCATCTTGAGAAAGACAACAGGGGGAAGCTGGAAGAAGGATCTGTGAAGCCATTGATGTCAGGCTGTAGATTTAACCTGTCAGAGTGGGGTGCTTTTGGCACACAGTGTGTAAGGTGTGGAGTCCATAGTGTCTGGATGCAGCCTCTGGCCAGGAAGTCTCTAATCTTCTCATGGGCAGAAGCTATAATAGCATCCCAGGGTGAGAATCACTATGTACTTACTGTTTGTAATATTATTTTGTATGCATATACAATATAAAAAAAAAGGATACTGAGCTAAATGAGCCTTAACAGAACCATTATTGCTGCTCTTAATTTCTCTGGACAAGTAGAAATTACTGAGGGACTTACAGAATGACATATCTCTGTAGACTCTTTCTTCTTTATAATGAGTTCTGCTGTTTCATATTTTAATGAGGATCTTAGCTCAAGTAATGGAAATTGAGAAATACAGTCTATACTTCCTTAGAATGCACAGTAACATGCAGAGCTTATTTTCCAATGAGTTCTGTGCCAATTAATTGTTCTCTATATGTCTTTTTAATGACAGCATAATTTGTTCATGTAATACAGAGTGGGAACCACAGCACAGTGTGAACATGAAAGCACCCTGAGCATAAGCCAAGATGTGGGAGCTTGGAGTCGTGCCCAGACAATGTATTAGAGAAAGTCGTCTGTTTCCAGTGACAAACAGTTAATTTAGCAGAACAAAATTAAGGATGTGAGAGAGATTTCATTTGTATGGCATCCTTGTTTCCTTAGACTGGTAGCTTGGAAAGCCTCTGTAGGAAGAAATGTGTAATTATGGAGAAGTGCTGGGATGGTCAGGTTTTCTTGTCTTAGTTTTTAATATTAAAAAAAAATAATAATTACAGCCTTTCGTAAGTTGTTTCAAAAGCCTCATTAAAGCATTAAGTTCCACCTTCCAATTACTTCTATAAAAAAAAAAATAATTGTAATGTTTCCCTATGTATATTTCAGCGGTGGAAACAGTTATTGAAATGGGGAAGCTGGCAGAAAAGTCATCTCAACATGAAGACAAGCTGAGAGTGGATGAAAATACAGGCACTAACCTCCTGAGTTTAGCTGCCCAAATTGCTTTAGAGGTAGAGCAGATAACACTTTGTCTTTATTTTGCTTTATTGATATAAGTAGGGCAGCTGTAACTTTGTAACCTTTCTTACTTTTCATGTTTCTATCTATTTAATGCATTTCTAAGTATTTTATTCTTCCTTGACCAAGGTCTCACTCAAATGTGTTGAGTAATGCAAAGTAGAAATAGATTTCACATGTAAAGAATTGGTATTTTTTAATATTTCTTCAGGAAAATAAAGGATTCTGAGTTATAAGTGTTGATACCTGGAAATGACATGGTGTATTTCTGTAAAATTCTCCTTATCAAAATGTTACATCTTTTTCTGCCTCTGGGATTTGATCCTTGACATACTAGGGGAGACTGTGTACAAAACACACCTAATTCAATGATGAAAGACTGAAAAGCCACTTGTCCCTCCTGTTTGCCTCTTGGTTGGTGACTTGAGTGATGTCTGAACTGGCTGATTACATTGGCATAATTAGAAGAGGATTTGATTGCCTTTCAGGGCTTTGTTCATAGCACTGTAAGAGGTGAAAGTCTTGCCAACCTAGACCCATCCCGTTCTTGCCATATGCTCTCTGTGCCTGTATGATCTCTCCTTATCCTTTTCTCTTTCCTCTGAGGCTCTTCAGTGCAGAGTCTTTTTCCAGCTAGTCGACTGCACAGACTTTTGGAATATGCTGTTGTTTTGCATTTGGTTTTTTTTCGTGGTAACTGAGGTAGTGCAGTTTATACAAAACGTGTTTTAATTTATTTTCAGAATGAACAACAAGTTGTGGCTATCAAAGCTTTGGAGTATTTGTCTGAACATTTACAAGACTGCCAACAGTTATTTGCAGCTTTAAAGTGAGTATTGAATACATTTACAAGGAAAAATAATTTTTTCTGATTTCTTTTTCTAAAATAATGTATTATATTGAGGAAGGAAGGAAAACAGAGTAGATGAAAGATTAGTTAGCAGTCTTTTTGGTGCTGCAGGTGTACCTCAAGCTTGAATTCTTAATATCTACAGATGTTCCAAGTCTCTCCCAAGCAAATAGTATTAGTTGCTGTGAATTTTATGATTACATCATGATTTGAACAGATGACCAACAGCGACTCCAATGAGATCACAACAATATATTTGGTGAAAATACCAGTTTGTTTTTATCTTCTGATGAAGTGGTATCTTCTTACTGAAATATTCCATCATGTTTATAAAAACAAATCTTGTGAAACAGATGTATTTATTCCAAAATTTGCTTAAAGTTACTCTGTTAAAGTGCATTTATTTACTTACATGGTTTAACAAAGTGGTATACAAATTAAGGCGATGGGGTGGGAAGTGGTATAATCTTATTCTCAGTTTGACACACTGAATTTTTTTCTGAGTTCCACGGGCTGATAGCGTAAGGAAGAAAAGTGGGATCCTTTCTGGAAAATTAGGACAAAGCAAACTTGGAAAAAAAAGTCTTGTTTCTTCATTACTTGCTTTTCTCATATTTAGATGTTTGGTTCGTCTTGTGTTGTCAAAGGTCATGGCAGAAAATGAAGAGAAAAGGTAAGTCCACTTGCAAAAGCATTTTCTCATTGTGGATATGTTGTACAAATGGTGTAATATTTTCTTACGGGGCTTATTTTCTTGAAGAGTAATCAGGAGGTTAACTTTTATGCTTATTAAAAGTTCACCCACACGACTTCCCAACTTAACCTAATGACATCACATAGGAACACCTTTTCTACTTGTATAACCTTTAAGTATTTGCTCTCTGTCTTCCTCTTCTATTAATGTCTAAGACTGGCAGGTATTTTTGAGGGGCCATGTGGGCTAAGCAGCCTCTCGTAACTTTGACACTAGTGTGTGATGTCTTTCAGAAGTTCTGAGTGAGAACTTCAGAGTGGGCCCTCCTTTGCTGAAGAGTAGGACTTGTCAAATGGCGTGTTGCCTTAGAAGTAGAACTGTACTGCTGGGTTTTGACTGTCAAGAAAACAGTGTAGTGGTGGTGGGTTTGAAGTTTAACCTGCAGCCCCAACAGCTGAGAAAATCTCCTGCTGCGCTTCCACAATGACCTTCACTGCTGCAAATCAATAAAACTTTCTGCAGGCCTTCAGTACTCCTTTGGCTTCCTAAAAAGCTAGAAGTTTCTCATGCCTGAGAAGTTTGTCAGGGGAAGAATAATTGTATCCATAATTACTAAGATCTTGCATTTCAACATAAATAATGTGTTCTGTTGTAAGAAAATTATGCAATCTTTTTCTAAAACTTAGTATTTCCTCCATTCTAGAGATGAAGATATCAACTCAATGCTGGCTTACTTGACCTTGGGTATGCTTTTCTTCTATTTACGTCTTCTGTAGTTCTTCCATCTGGGAAATTTTGATGATTTGTTTAGGTCCATACCAACTGAAAGTTTGGACTTCTTTTTCAGTCTAGGTTCCCAACTTCCCACTGAAATGAGTGAAAATTAAAACCAGAGATTCAACAGTGTTGTGAAGTTGATCTCAGTGCCACAGGTTTTTCCTGTGAAAATCCTGCACTCTACTGTTGGAAAAACTGTTTGTAGTAAAGCCTGCACTTGGGAGCTTCTCTCAGACAAAGGGGCAGTTTCTTCTAGGGAGTTTCCCTTTCATCTTTCATAAGGCCATGATGCAAACAGGAGCTATTTGGGTACAAGCCACAGCCTGGGTGGCCTCAAGTGACAGTCTCCTACTCTGACTGCACTGGCAGGAACAAAGCGAGTATCTTTAGCAGCAGGGCTACCACAGAAGGAAGAAGTTTGGTTTTGTAAACTGAATTACCAGTGTTAACTTTCTCCTGGCATTAATGAAATGCCAATGGTGGTCTTTGCTGTTCTGGCTGTTTAAAAGGGAGCATTTTTTTAAATATATCAAGTTAATGTGCTTTTTTTTTTTTTTTTTTCCCTGGAAAGCTTACAGAAGTGCACGAAATGATAGCAAATTGTTGAAAGATAGGAGAGGCTTGTCAAAATTGGTTCTCACTTTTAAGTTGTGGTGTCCTTTGAAAAAGAATTGTCTTGTTTGCATTGGAAAAGGTAACAGGAGTTTTACAGAGGACTTTTCTCTATCTGAAGAAATACATGTTTTTTACCCCTCTCTTTCTATCTTGGACAAGGAAGCTCCTCAGATTGTAGAACTTTACAGTAGCCATTGGTGCTGTAACAGGGAGATGAGAATGAAGACTAGAATTAAAATAATTAAAGGTTCCCTGAAGAAAGGCCTCAAATATGTTACTAAATTTAAAACCTTGCCACTTTCTGTGAAATTAAGTAAAACTCCTTTGCATTAGACTTCAGTGTCAGTAAACTTTGAAGAGGCAGTACTTGTTGGCAGACTTACATATTTTACCCTAACATGCTGGTTCAGGCACCTTTTGATGCTTTTTATAAGCTTCTCTGGTCAAGCATGTTAGGTTTAAATTAGAAAGGCCTCAAATATGTTACTAAATTTAAAACCTTGCCACTTTCTGTGAAATTAAGTAAAACTCCTTTGCATTAGACTTCAGTGTCAGTAAACTTTGAAGAGGCAGTACTTGTTGGCAGACTTACATATTTTACCCTAACATGCTGGTTCAGGCACCTTTTGATGCTTTTTATAAACTTCTCTGGTCAAGCATGTTAGATTTAAGTAGTTAGAATTAACTCTTCATTGGGAATTATACAGGAGTTTTGGAAACCTCTGTTTTGTAGTGCAGTTATTAGACTTTGAAATGTTTTCATTCTGCTCAGAAAGTGTTACTTACGCATTGAACAACTCATTTTCTGCAGCTCACAAGAAACTTGCGGCGTCTTTCACAGAAGAGAAGTTTACAGGGGACATGAGGATCCTTGATGCACACTGGTTTAGAAAAGTTGGTAGGTTACACTCTAAAAATCTAAACTGAATCCTCTCCACCTCCAGTTAGCCAGACCTTAAGGAAGAAAGAAGTGTTTAAAGAGGTAGTGGATTTATAAAGCTTGGCATCTTTGGGAGTTGCTGCCTTAAATAGTCTTGAAGTTCTCCTGCTGCATTTTCTCTCTTCTGAAACTATCTGATACGGCTCATATTTTAAGTCAGTTGTCAAGACAAATAATGACACAAGGTCTGTTTGAGTGATGGGATAGTTGATATAGTATTCTCTTCACCACAGGAATTGTTGTACGTGTCTAGAGTTCATTTTTCTCTTAGTTAGCCCTTCACTACCAAGACTGTTACAGAAGTAAAATTTAAGATCAAGCAAATAGGAAGAATAATGGTCAATTCAATGTCTGGAAAAAAAAGTGCTGCTAAGAGCAATAAAAACCCTTAGTGCTGATCCTGCATATTCTTCTGTAGGTAAAATGAGAATTAAGATGTTCAGATGAATGTATGGGTTTGATGGGTGCAGGATGAGCTTACCTCTGCCACCCAGATAGACTGTCTTCATTAGTCCCTTAAATCACAGAATCACAGAATCACAGAATCTTAGTGGTTGGAAGGGACCTCTGAGATCATCGAGTCCAACCACAAAAAAAAAAAACAAAACACAAACAACAAAAAAGCCCAAAAAAACCACACCACACCAAACGCCCACCAAAAACACCGCACCCACCAACTAAACCCCACACTCAACACCTCGCCATAAACCAATAACCTTGGGCACTAGAGCATGTCCTGAAGAGCCATGTCTACACGTTTCTTAAATCCCTCCAGGGATGGTGACTCCACCACCTCCCTGGGCAGGCTGTTCCAGTGCCTGACCACCCTCTCAGTAAAGTAATTCTTTCTAATATCTAATCTAAATCTCCCCTGCCGCAACTTCAGACCATTTCCTCTGGTCTTGTCGTTCATCCTTTGGGAGAAGAGGCCAACACCTGCCTCTCTCCACCCTCCTTTCAGGGAGCTGTAGAGGGCAATGAGGTCTCCCCTCAGCCTCCTCTTCTCCAAACTAAACATGCCCAGTTCCCTCAGCCTCTCCTCATAGGACTTGTTCTCCAGACCCCTCCCCAGCTTGGTGGCTCTCCTCTGGACACGCTCCAGCACCTCAATGTCCTTCCTGTAGTGAGGGGCCCAAACTGATTTGCCTCGAACTACAGGGTATGAAATCTACACAGCAAACGTTATCAGAGATTATGTGTTTCCTGGTGGGCAATACAGCTCCCCTGGAGCTGTCCTAAGCACGATCCGTAGCGTGTCCCTAGATCCTCATTTATTAGTCTTTGTTACACTGTTTTCTTTAAAAAGTCAGTGCATTTGCTGTCTATAAATAAAAATATAAGCGTAGTGTAACAGGTTGAAGCGATTTTTCAAATTCTCGCTTCTGCCAGGGTGCACAGAAGAGAAAACAGTTGAAATCAGTAAGAGAAGCCATGTTCCATGATGGGCTTTTGCTCACATCCTCCCAGGGCAGCTGTGCTTTAATCCAGAGTAGTGACGGAGGGAGAGGTCACACGTAGTGACAGGAGTGAGTGGAGTCTGCGGTGACCTCTCCAAGGCAGCAGTCTCTCTCACAGAATAAACAACGTGGAGGCTACAAAAACATGTCCTAGGGAATAAATTAGAAATCTGCAAAGTCACTGTGGAATGTAAACATTGAATTGGGTGAGATTCTCGTACATAAATAATTCGATCATCTTTAGATGACTCACCCATTTGCTAATCAGAATTGTGTGTTTAATTGCCATGTACGTCACCCTGCTGGGGTAAAATGGAGAATGTTTCAAAACACTGTTGGGTTTTTTCCTTTTTTCTTTTATTTTTAATTTTCCTTTGCAATATTGTTCAACTCTTTTATTCAGATACTAGTTTTGTTTACTAACTTAAGAAAATGCTTCTTCCAATTCATGCCCTTGTGGGTAGGGTTATGTGGTAGAACAGATATTTGGTTGTGATGGAATGATTAAGACCAAACGTGAAAGCATGAATAAGCTATTTTAACAAATCATTAATAATGGTATTTCTTGCTGTTAGTAAACAAGCTGTTGATGATGTTTTGATGAAGAAAGTGGATTGTGGAATGTGAACTGCCTATTACTAGAGATTAGATGGGCATACCCGTAAGGTTGAAGATTTTTATTATAGTCTCCATTTTTTTATTTCTTTGTTAGCTTGGAACTTAGCTGTACAGTTCAGGGACTACCCTGAAAAGATGAGGGATTTTTTCCTATTGTCTTTCAAGGTACGTACTCTTGCTAGTTCTATCTCTGATTGAGGAATATTGCCATCTGTCTAGTTCTGTTAGAATTTACATCCAAGGATCAGGTGTCTCTGAGCAGACATGCCTGTATGCTCTGAAGATGGAGCGCTTTTGTCAGGAGGAGATGGACTTATAATACAAAAAGTGAGCATTATTGTTATACTTTATAGTCTGTCACTTAAAAATGTTGTAAGAAACGTAGACTTCAATGAGAACTTTCTAAATGAAATGGATTCTGATGTTTGGAGACTGTATCATGAATAGAAGCATGTTAAGTACTCAAGTCCTAATCTTCATGCAGAACTTGTACCAACACTGACAGTTCTGTATGTGTTTGTAGAGAGGGGACTCCAACACTGGTTTACCCTTTGAGTAATCTTCTTGTGTAATTGTACAAGGAAAATTGCAATTTGAATATATACTATTCATGACTGATCAGTAGAAGTGTCATAGAATAGACTCAGCAACCATCTGTTCATGAGAAAATTGCTATATATGGGCAGAATTCTCATTACCTTTTCCTATTTTTGGTGTCAGTTGTCCCAGTTTTGTCCCTCTGACAAAGCTGTTCTAATTGCCCAGAAGACATGCCTGTTAATGGCAGCTGCAGTTGATCTGGAAATGGGGAGACAAGAAGCAACACCTTCTAAACAGGTAGGGCATTGCTCTGTTAATTCATTATGCATGTAGCAGTGTAGCATTTTTTTCTTTTGATTTTGAAGTCTTAGTCGTTTCACTCAGAACAGGATATTGAGAATATATGCACAGAAACCTTTTACAGTTAATTAGAATCAATGCACCTAGTGCTTTCCAGACAATTGGAAATGTTGGAGTTCTGTAAACTAGTTCTATTGACTTAAGTGAATTTTAATTGATTTATATCAGCAAAGAATCATAGCAGCACCCTCTCTTAGAGGAATTTCAGCCTGCCTTATATATCATGTGAGGAGTCTGCTGCTAAACATTGGTCAGTCAGGCAGATAATTACTGCTCCTTTAGAATTATACTGTTGCTGAAAGTAGTTACCAGTATGGTTGTGATAAAGCTCACAATTTTTTTTGCTCTTTATGCATACATCCTTTTTTGGGGGTATTGTACTAGCTGTGGTAAGAAGAGTAAAGGAAATGTGTGGTGGTTATGAAGGGAGTACGGAAGTCTGCTGTACGGTGATCGTTGTAGCAACTTATTTTTGTGGAGAGCAATGCACAGCAATTTGTGTTGTGGGATTTAGTGGTTTGTCAGTCTCAATAGCACCACTTTTTGCTTGGGAGCTAAAATAAATGATGTCCTATAGGAACCTGTATGGTTCTTTCTGGACCAATGGAAGGGTGAGTGTGAAGAGGCTTTGTTTGAGATGTGGAGGTCTTTGAAAAAGAGAGAGGAAAAAAAAACCACAACCCAAAGCCAGTATCTGGTGTAGATGATGTACTGATTAGGCTGATTCTTAATTTATTTTATAGTTACGTATAAAGATCCTGTTAGTTGTGACATGTATATTCCTTTCACTTTTAAAAATGTGACAAAAATAACTTTTTAAATTTTGTAAAATAGACAGAGCTTTTGACTCAGGCCCTTGAACATCTCCAGGCATGCAAAGAGATATGGAAAGTTCTGAAATTAACAGGTAAGCTACAAAGTGTGTCTGTTCAGCACATGTAACTCTTAGATTTAGTCACTGTATTGATGAAAAATACAGGGGATATGGAATTGCTGTCTCAGCTGAAGAGTGTTGATATATGGCAATAGGATAAAAGAATTGGCAAAGCCAACTACTGTTTTTTGTATGTCATTGCAGACTTTTTATTGTATAGGTGCTGTCAAGTATGGAACTTTCCAGAGTGAAGTTGTGACTGTTGTCTTAAATTTTGAGAAACTCCGAGGTTTTTGCTCTAGAGTGGAGTTGCTCTTGCACTGTTTTAATAGTCATACCAGGCTCTTCCCATGTAAAGCATTTCAGAGTACAGAAATCCTGCCACCGTATTTTGAAGTGCCAAGACCCATCCTCTGTTCCCTGACTATTCTATGTCAATTTAGATCAGACATTACTGGAGGCTGGTGTGCTTTCAGCTGACAGGTGAGATGCTGGGTGACTGTTAGCCTAGAGGATGCATGTTTCACTTTTTTGGTAGTTTATAGGTATAAAAATTCCATTAGGCATTCCTAGACCAGCCTGTGTCTAGTTTCTTTTCCCTTACAGGTTTGGGACACTCTAGAGTTTCCATTGTAAGGTGCGTTAGTATTTAACTTTTGTCAAGAAATTTACTTGCTTTTTTTCCCCCCCCCCTTAGAATTTCAGAATGAAAGGTTCATTATATGGCCTGGATTTGGGATTCTCTTTGCCTTTTTTGCACTGAAGGCAAGATAACTTAGAAAGACTTCTTCCCTTTTTAATTTTCCATCCTTAAAATCCGAAGGGGTTGATTATCTCAGGACTTGTTAGAATTAACTCTTCATTGGGAATTATACAGGAGTTTTGGAAACCTCTGTTTTGTAGTGCAGTTATTAGACTTTGAAATATTTTCATTCTGCTCAGAAAGTGTTACTTACGCATTGAACAACTCATTTTCTGCAGCTCACAAGAAACTTGCTGCGTCTTTCACAGAAGAGAAGTTTACAGGGGACATGAGGATCCTTGATGCACACTGGTTTAGAAAAGTTGGTAGGTTACACTCTAAAAATCTAAACTGAATCCTCTCCACCTCCAGTTAGCCAGACCTTAAGGAAGAAAGAAGTGTTTAAAGAGGTAGTAGATTTATAAAGCTTGGCATCTTTGGCAGTTGCTGCCTTAAATAGTCTTGAAGTTCTCCTGCTGCATTTTCTCTCTTCTGAAACTATCTGATACGGCTCATATTTTAAGTCAGTTGTCAAGACAAATAATGACACAAGGTCTGTTTGAGTGATGGGATAGTTGATATAGTATTCTCTTCACCACAGGAATTGTTGTACGTGTCTAGAGTTCATTTTTCTCTTAGTTAGCCCTTCACTACCAAGACTGTTACAGAAGTAAAATTTAAGATCAAGCAAATAGGAAGAATAATGGTTAATTCAATGTCTGGAAAAAAAAGTGCTGCTAAGAGCAATAAAAACCCTTACTGCTGATCCTGCATATCCTTCTGTAGGTAAAATGAGAATTAGGATGTTCAGATGAATGTATGGGTTTGATGGGTGCAGGATGAGCTTACCTCTGCCACCCAGATAGACTGTCTTCATTAGTCCCTTAAATCACAGAATCACAGAATCACAGAATCTTAGTGGTTGGAAGGGACCTCTGAGATCATCGAGTCCAACCACAAAAAAAAAAAACAAAACACAAACAACAAAAAAGCCCAAAAAAACCACACCACACCAAACGCCCACCAAAAACACCGCACCCACCAACTAAACCCCACACTCAACACCTCGCCATAAACCAATAACCTTGGGCACTAGAGCATGTCCTGAAGAGCCATGTCTACACGTTTCTTAAATCCCTCCAGGGATGGTGACTCCACCACCTCCCTGGGCAGGCTGTTCCAGTGCCTGACCACCCTCTCAGTAAAGTAATTCTTTCTAATATCTAATCTAAATCTCCCCTGCCGCAACTTCAGACCATTTCCTCTGGTCTTGTCGTTCATCCTTTGGGAGAAGAGGCCAACACCTGCCTCTCTCCACCCTCCTTTCAGGGAGCTGTAGAGGGCAATGAGGTCTCCCCTCAGCCTCCTCTTCTCCAAACTAAACATGCCCAGTTCCCTCAGCCTCTCCTCATAGGACTTGTTCTCCAGACCCCTCCCCAGCTTGGTGGCTCTCCTCTGGACACGCTCCAGCACCTCAATGTCCTTCCTGTAGTGAGGGGCCCAAACTGATTTGCCTCGAACTACAGGGTATGAAATCTACACAGCAAACGTTATCAGAGATTATGTGTTTCCTGGTGGGCAATACAGCTCCCCTGGAGCTGTCCTAAGCACGATCCGTAGCGTGTCCCTAGATCCTCATTTATTAGTCTTTGTTACACTGTTTTCTTTAAAAAGTCAGTGCATTTGCTGTCTATAAATAAAAATATAAGCGTAGTGTAACAGGTTGAAGCGATTTTTCAAATTCTCGCTTCTGCCAGGGTGCACAGAAGAGAAAACAGTTGAAATCAGTAAGAGAAGCCATGTTCCATGATGGGCTTTTGCTCACATCCTCCCAGGGCAGCTGTGCTTTAATCCAGAGTAGTGACGGAGGGAGAGGTCACACGTAGTGACAGGAGTGAGTGGAGTCTGCGGTGACCTCTCCAAGGCAGCAGTCTCTCTCACAGAATAAACAACGTGGAGGCTACAAAAACATGTCCTAGGGAATAAATTAGAAATCTGCAAAGTCACTGTGGAATGTAAACATTGAATTGGGTGAGATTCTCGTACATAAATAATTCGATCATCTTTAGATGACTCACCCATTTGCTAATCAGAATTGTGTGTTTAATTGCCATGTACGTCACCCTGCTGGGGTAAAATGGAGAATGTTTCAAAACACTGTTGGGTTTTTTCCTTTTTTCTTTTATTTTTAATTTTCCTTTGCAATATTGTTCAACTCTTTTATTCAGATACTAGTTTTGTTTACTAACTTAAGAAAATGCTTCTTCCAATTCATGCCCTTGTGGGTAGGGTTATGTGGTAGAACAGATATTTGGTTGTGATGGAATGATTAAGACCAAACGTGAAAGCATGAATAAGCTATTTTAACAAATCATTAATAATGGTATTTCTTGCTGTTAGTAAACAAGCTGTTGATGATGTTTTGATGAAGAAAGTGGATTGTGGAATGTGAACTGCCTATTACTAGAGATTAGATGGGCATACCCGTAAGGTTGAAGATTTTTATTATAGTCTCCATTTTTTTATTTCTTTGTTAGCTTGGAACTTAGCTGTACAGTTCAGGGACTACCCTGAAAAGATGAGGGATTTTTTCCTATTGTCTTTCAAGGTACGTACTCTTGCTAGTTCTATCTCTGATTGAGGAATATTGCCATCTGTCTAGTTCTGTTAGAATTTACATCCAAGGATCAGGTGTCTCTGAGCAGACATGCCTGTATGCTCTGAAGATGGAGCGCTTTTGTCAGGAGGAGATGGACTTATAATACAAAAAGTGAGCATTATTGTTATACTTTATAGTCTGTCACTTAAAAATGTTGTAAGAAACGTAGACTTCAATGAGAACTTTCTAAATGAAATGGATTCTGATGTTTGGAGACTGTATCATGAATAGAAGCATGTTAAGTACTCAAGTCCTAATCTTCATGCAGAACTTGTACCAACACTGACAGTTCTGTATGTGTTTGTAGAGAGGGGACTCCAACACTGGTTTACCCTTTGAGTAATCTTCTTGTGTAATTGTACAAGGAAAATTGCAATTTGAATATATACTATTCATGACTGATTAGTAGAAGTGTCATAGAATAGACTCAGCAACCATCTGTTCATGAGAAAATTGCTATATATGGGCAGAATTCTCATTACCTTTTCCTATTTTTGGTGTCAGTTGTCCCAGTTTTGTCCCTCTGACAAAGCTGTTCTAATTGCCCAGAAGACATGCCTGTTAATGGCAGCTGCAGTTGATCTGGAAATGGGGAGACAAGAAGCAACACCTTCTAAACAGGTAGGGCATTGCTCTGTTAATTCATTCTGGATGTAGCAGTGTAGCATTTTTTTATTTTGATTTTGAAGTCTTAGTCATTTCACTCAGAACAGGATATTGAGAATATATGCACAGAAACCTTTTACAGTTAATTAGAATCAATGCACCTAGTGCTTTCCAGACAATTGGAAATGTTGGAGTTCCGTAAACTAGTTCTATTGACTTAAGTGAATTTTAATTGATTTATATCAGCAAAGAATCATAGCAGCACCCTCTCTTAGAGGAATTTCAGCGATGTGTTTCCTGGTGGGCAATACAGCTCCCCTGGAGCTGTCCTAAGCACGATCCGTAGCGTGTCCCTAGATCCTCATTTATTAGTCTTTGTTACACTGTTTTCTTTAAAAAGTCAGTGCATTTGCTGTCTATAAATAAAAATATAAGCGTAGTGTAACAGGTTGAAGCGATTTTTCAAATTCTCGCTTCTGCCAGGGTGCACAGAAGAGAAAACAGTTGAAATCAGTAAGAGAAGCCATGTTCCATGATGGGCTTTTGCTCACATCCTCCCAGGGCAGCTGTGCTTTAATCCAGAGTAGTGACGGAGGGAGAGGTCACACGTAGTGACAGGAGTGAGTGGAGTCTGCGGTGACCTCTCCAAGGCAGCAGTCTCTCTCACAGAATAAACAACGTGGAGGCTACAAAAACATGTCCTAGGGAATAAATTAGAAATCTGCAAAGTCACTGTGGAATGTAAACATTGAATTGGGTGAGATTCTCGTACATAAATAATTCGATCATCTTTAGATGACTCACCCATTTGCTAATCAGAATTGTGTGTTTAATTGCCATGTACGTCACCCTGCTGGGGTAAAATGGAGAATGTTTCAAAACACTGTTGGGTTTTTTCCTTTTTTCTTTTATTTTTAATTTTCCTTTGCAATATTGTTCAACTCTTTTATTCAGATACTAGTATCTCAGGACAGGGACATATTGGAGTTTCTCCTGCAGAGAACGATGATTCCTGCTGTGGAATGATAGCCTGGTGCTTCCGTTATATCTTCACTAGACCTTGGCCAATGTATGGACAAGTCTGATGCTCTGGAGAAAGCTGAGAGTGTATTTTAGATGGAAAACCAAAGGTCTTTGTGATAGTTCAGTAAAGGATTGTTTAGTGTTTGTATCAGATTTACACCTTCCTAGCACCCTTCTTCTGTGTTTAAGGATTATGCTTCCGTTATATCTTCACTAGACCTTGGCCAATGTATGGACAAGTCTGATGCTCTGGAGAAAGCTGAGAGTGTATTTTAGATGGAAAACCAAAGGTCTTTGTGATAGTTCAGTAAAGGATTGTTTAGTGTTTGTATCAGATTTACACCTTCCTAGCAGTTCTACTTTTCTCCCACCCTTCTTCTGTGTTTAAGGATTTCCTGAGGGCTTTTCTCCTAGAAAGGGGGCAAGTTCAGTAGAAAAAATCTGAAGCTGATGCTAACTTCTGTCATATGTTGACCTTCTGAGTGGTGGCCTTCTGTTACCTCTTTTACCTGTCTATGAAAACAGCTTCTGTAGTGGCTATTACCTTGCCCAGGAGCATTGCATGAATTTAGACAATTACAGACAAAAGTACTCAAGTCCTAATCTTCACACAGAACTTGTACCAACACTGACAGTTCTGTATGTGTTTGTAGAGAGGGGACTCCAACACTGGTTTACCTCTCAGGACAGGGACATATTGGAGTTTCTCCTGCAGAGGTTTGTGGAATGGTAGCCTGGTGCTTCCGTTATATCTTCACTAGACCTTGGCCAATGTATGGACAAGTCTGTTGCTCTGGAGAAAGCTGAGAGTGTATTTTAGATGGAAAAACAAAGGTCTTTGTGATAGTTCAGTAAAGGATTGTTTAGTGTTTGTATCAGATTTACACCTTCCTAGCACCCTTCTTCTGTGTTTAAGGATTACCTGAGGGCTTTTCTCCTAGAAAGGGGGCAAGTTCAGTAGAAAAAATCTGAAGCTGATGATAACTTCTGTCATATGTTGACCTTCTGAGTGGTGGCCTTCTGTTACCTCTTTTACCTGTCTATGAAAACAGCTTCTGTAGTGGCTATTACCTTACCCAGGAGCATTGCACGAATTTAGACAATTACAGGCAATCCAGTGAAAACAGCTTCTGTAGTGGCTATTACCTTGCCCAGGAGCATTGCATGAATTTAGACAATTACAGACAATCCAGATCTTTTTTTTTTTTTTTTTGGCGGGGAGAGAGGCCTGATGGTTGGTGGGGTTGTGCTTTGTACATTTGGACATCTGAGCTTTCTGTCCAAGACCACTTCATAGTTCCACTTGCTCTACTGTTAGATCTGAGTAACTGTTTTCCTGCCCGTTAGAAAGAAAATTTAAACCTTATGGTGTACCATGTAGCTTTAAGGCAAGGAATCATTACATACAGGCAATTCTGTGTCTTCTGCAGGAGATTTTGCTAAGGACCCAACAGAGACTTTGTTGCTGCTTTATGAATTTGAAGCAAGATCCAAGCTGAATGATCCAACACTCCACAAGCTTATGGAGTCAGTATGGGAGCAACCACAAATAGAGGTCAAGACGCTAGAAATCATTGCATGTAAGGACTGCATTTGTACTTTCATAGTTGTTCAAGTAATGAAAAACAGCCTTTGTTGCTCTTCCTGTTCATTTGGGTGACCAGGATTACCATATATTATGCAGCAGGCAGAAAATGGGTCTAGCCATATATATTTTGTCCTGAGGCAAAGATGCTTAGGATATCAGCAGCATTAGGAGATCTGTCTTTTGAAATCCTGTATTATGTGGATGATGAACCAGAAATTTGCTCCATCCTTCCATTTCTAGCCTCTGAGACATTTGTATAGGTTATGAGTCTGGAAAAGAGAATTCAGATAAACTTTTACAGGCTCCAAACTGGCAAAGGCCAGAGAATGATCCCAGCTGATTCGTGCCCCCAGTACAGAAGTTTCAGGATGTGGACTTTGGATAGATGTGCAATTTCAAGTTAAAGTTAGTGTAGTTCATTTTGAAATAAAACTTCTCTACATTGTACCGTACTTTCATCACAAAGTTCTAGTCATGCCTCCTTGAGAATCTAGGGGGGGATCCAAGGAAGGTGAGTAAAATTTAGAAGGTACCCTGGCAAATCTTTGGAGAGGATTCTGTAGGATTGGGTAAACACCTCCCTCCCTCCCTTATCTTGAGGGCATAACACACCAGGGCTTGGAAGCACCATACTGACATCCTGCTCCTGCCCATTTTTCCATCCAAATGTTCACATTCAAGGAGACAAAAACTTTAGACACCCACCTCCTTCTGCCCAATGTTTTTGAGTTACTGCACCAGAAGCAAACAGCAGTGAGAGTACTTGTGAATGATGAAATCTGCTCTGCTTCTGCCTTGTAGTCCTCAGCGACGAGGTGCACAGTCAGAAAGCAGTAGCCAAGCACTAGTGTGTGACCAGCCCAGGCACCCAGGCTTTAAGCAAATTTTTTTTTCAGTTCTTTATCACAAGGGATCTGGCAACATGTTGTAGTTTATTTTAGTGACCAATGAGATTAAAGTCTGGCTCTAGTCATTTCTTTCTTCTCTGTTTTCTTTTGCTTTTAAGCGTTAGCAATGGAATCTCCAGCTCGGTATCCTGTGCTGTGTAAGAAAGCTCTCAAGAGTGCACTAAACCTTCACAGAAAGCAGAGTGTCATTGATGCTGAGAAGTTTAGGTTAGTGTCATCACGTAGCTTTGCCGTGAGCCTGGGACTGGAAATACTGCCAGGGAATAAAGCCTGCAATTTGAAAAAAGTGGATTTTACCTTATGTGCGAGGTTTGGCTTCTTGCTGGCCAACTAGCGTACCCCTCAAGTGTGACTGTCTGATGGAAGTGTTAGAGGCAATTTGTTCAGTTGGGCTGTTTGCTGAAACAGTCCCATTTCCAATCGATGATTCTATCGAGGAAGGAAAATGAAAATAGGATCCAGAAGAGGTCTCTGGCTGTTTCTTGTGAGGAAGGTGTTCGTTTCAAACGTTACCCTGCAGTAGCAAGCTGGGTATTTCAAAGACAATGAAGTGAAGGGAAATGAAGGGCTGAGAAGAAAGCCATGAGTTGTAAGTTAGTGATGCGATACCATAGTACATATGTGATTTATTGTGCTGGGTAACTGGCACTGTAACATCTTTACCTTATGGAATCTTAAATACAACCTGGCGTGTGTCCTCCTCTCTCACTTGAACCCCATGAAGGATTTTTTCCCTTTTTGCTGAGTTCATTGCAGTAACCACTGGGAAAAGGCAACTGTTAATATCACCTTTCTCACTTCACACTGAGAAAGAAAGACCTGTTTCCAGAAAGCCTGTGTTTGTTCCTTTGTTACCAATTTTCCAAGGATGCTGACTGCTCCTTTCTTGTTGGTGAAGTTAGAAAAGGTACTTTGTCCTTACTGTCTTGTGTAGCACCCTAGAAAATATGATGTCTTTTCTTCTGTGTTGCTTTAGAGCCCAGCAATGAAAATAATGAAGTGCCTGTTGCTCTTGGCTCTCTTTTTGCGTGGTTTGTATGAATGAGATCCGATGCCAGGAAAATGTTTGTTTCTGCTATAGGAATATGAGTGTAGTAAGCACCAAGGTGGAGATGTCTGACAATCCTGGGGATGTAAGTTAGTGTGCTGCTGATACTAAGAAGTAGCTGGTTGTGCACCCAGTATTTAATATTTCCTCTTTTGCTGTCTTTCAATTCTCAGCAAATGCTTACACAGTTTGATTAATCTTTCTTTGCCGACTGGATTAACGGACTTGGACGCCTGTGTGCTGCGGGAGGTGTGGGGCTACTTTGAAGATGCTCTGAGCATAGTCAGCAGCACAGTAAGTTGAACAGGAAAACAAGAGATTGGGAGGTGGTGCCAAAAAGGTTCTCATCAGACTGAGAATAATTAGTAGACTGAACATTATATAGTGTTGGATTTGGAGCAGTTAAGACTCATTCAGTAAAAGATACTGTGTGAGCTGACGCAGGTGGGATGCAGGAACAACCACAAAACCATGGATGAAAGGCAAAGAACAAATTTAATCTTGATGCCTCGTGGATCTGGGAATCTCCAAAGCAGCACCTGGGCAGAGGTGTGCAAGCAGGGGCTGCAGGCACCTGGGGAGCAGGAGAGAGTTCTTATTAGCGACAGAGCCCTTGTTAGCAAGGGAATGATAGAGCAAGAGCTCCCACTTGCTGCTCTGCCCCGTATTTCAAGGATTCCAGCAGGCAGTTTTCTGCTGTGCTTTGATGTTCAGCAGCAGGGCAGGAATCTGGGCGCGCTCGATAAGGTGTCCCTGAGTCCATCCCGGGCCGGTGTTATCTCAGTGCAGATGTTCTGCTTGTTGAGCACATAAGACTAAACAACAGTGTGATGTATGTGCTTAGCAGCACCCCACGGGCGAGTCACTGGAGTGTGTTGACAGTCCTGCTCACTCATCTTCTGTTCCTTTCCCGCAGATACAGAAAAGATAGTTACGACTGAATTATGAATTTCCCTGGATTTTACAAAGGTGTTTTTAGAGACATTTAAGGCCAAATTTTAAGTGCCTTGGCACTTACTTTAGAAACATGTTGAGCTAGAAAATCCATCTTTGCTCCTGCTGCTTTCTAAATTCTTACACTGAATATGGATTTTTAAAGGCAGTTTGCTTCTCCAGATCAGTTTAAAGCCAGCTAAAATTTGGATGCCAGTCTTGCTTTTTTCTCAGCTCTGTTTTGTTAAATATGTTTGGGAACATACTCCATTACTATTTTTTCCAGATGACCTAGGACTAGATTCCCGTGTTGTCGGTACCTGTGGCTTGTTTCTGTGAGGACAGGTATATGGAGAGTAAAATCTTTCTTTCAGGAAGCATTTCTGCTTCTCCTTTTAGGCCCGGAGCATAATGCTGTACAGTGAAGGCAGTTCACAGAATTAGAATTTCAAAATGTACAGAATTAGAATTTCATCAGGGTTCTGTACCTGGGACATGGCAATCCCAGGCACAAATACAGGCTGGGTGGAGAATGGCTAGAAAGCAGCCCTGAGGAGAAGACTTGGGAGTGCTCGTGGATGAGAATCACAGAAACACAGAATATTCGTGGTTGGAAGGGAACTTTGAGATCATCACCATACACACACACAAAAACCCAAAAAAACCTTCCATAAACAAACAACCAAACAACCAAAAAAACCACCAACAAACACACAAAAAGACCACAAAACAAAACATCCAACCCAATGATCTCAGGCACTAGAGCATGCCCTGAAATGCCACGTCTACACGTTTCTTAAATCCCTCCAGGGATGGTGACTCCACCACCTCCCTGGGCAGGCTGTTCCAGGGCCTGACCACCCTCTCAGCAAAGTCATTCTCCCCAAGATCTAATCTAACCCTCCCCTGCCCCAACTTCAGACCATTTCCTCTGCTCCTGTCATGATTCCCTTGGGAGAAGAGGCCAACCCCCACCTCTCTCCATGCTCCTTTCAGGAAGTTATAGAGGGCAATGAGGTCTCCCCTCAGCCTCCTCTTCTCCAAACTAACCATGCTCTGTTCACACAGCCTCTCCTCATAGGACTTGTTCTCCAGACCCCTCACCAGGTCAACACGAGTAGCTCAACACAAGCCAGCAGTGTGCTCTGGCAGCCCAGAGAGCCAACCCCATCCTGGGCTGCATCAAGAGAAGTGTGGCCAGGAGGTCGCGGGAGGTGATTCTGCCCCTCTGCTCTGCTCTGGTGAGACCCCACCTGGAGCTCTGTGTCCAGCTCTGGAGTCCTCAGCACAGGAAGGACATGGACCTGTTGGAACGGGTCCAGCAGAGGCCAGGAAGATGCTCAGAGGGATGGAGCCCCTCTGCTGTGAGGACAGGCTGAGAGAGCTGGGGGTGTTCAGCCTGGAGAAGAGAAGGCTCCGGGGAGACCTTAGAGCCCCTTCCAATATCTGAAGGGAGCTCCAGGAGAGCTGGGGAGGGACTCTTTGTCAGGGAGTGCAGTGACAGGACAAGGGGGAACGGTTTTAAATTGGAAGAGGGGAGATTTAGATGAGATCTCAGGAAGAAATTCTTCACTGTGAGGGTGGTGAGAGCCTGGCCCAGGTTGCCCAGAGAAGCTGTGGCTGCCCCATCCCTGGAGGGGTTCAAGGCCAGGCTGGATGGGGCTTGGAGCAACCTGGTCTGGTGGGAGGTGTCCCTGCCCAGGGCAGGGGGGTTGGAACTCGATGATCTGTACCTGCCTTTCACTGAAGTTGTCATCAATAACTTTGCTAATGTTCTTGTTGAGGGATACAAATGAGATTTAATGTGGAACTGATGTTCATAACAGCAAAGTTTCACAGTGCTAGAAAACTGCCTTTTGCCATCTTGCTCATGACACCAGGTACCAGTGGTACCATGCCAGGAGAAGGATATTAGGGCATCACATCAGCACATTATCAGTTAGAGAGCTGGTACACCGCTCATGGTTTATACCTCCTGTTCAGAAATGCATGCTGCATTTCAGAAGATCACCCTGGGCCCTTTTACTTAGGATGAGAAGTATCTCTCAAAGAGGGAAAAGGAGTCCCCTTGAGCGTTTGAATGGCAAATAAATAATTGCTTGTCCTTGCTTTCCCCAACTGAATCGGTTCCCCACCAGGTTCGAAGTATCGTTGGGTACTCTGGCCTCTGTTCTGCAGGTGTAAGGGCAGCTTGCACTCTGACAAGCCATTGGGGCTATTCTGAAGACATAAGAACTGTTCATCTCATCTGCAGTGAGCAACTGCCCTGCTATTCAGTAGGGTTTGGGGGAGCTGGAGAGTACCTCAGCACTGTTGGAAAGCACACTTCCACTCCGGCATCATTCCCAGTCCCCTGGAGTTGTATTTTACTGACCTACCCCTAGGTAATTGCAACGTGACTGACTGTTGGAAAGAAGCTGTTTGACAGTAGTGCAGATGAACTGTGAAGTACAGGATGGCTCTGAAGGAATTGCCCTTTGCTTAGGAGAAAAAATAAAGAAACCCAGCTGCTTTCCCACTCTAAACTCTAATGAATGTTTGGTTTGTCATGGTTAAAGTGAGAGTCTGTTTTCTGATGAGCTGCTGCTTCTTGTTTGCTACTCCAGGATGCTTACCCAGAGATGGAGATCCTTTGGTTGTTGACAAGAGCCTGGAATACAGGAATATTTCAGTATACCGTTGGGAAATACAAGGAAGCTGAGCAGTGGTGTGGATTAGGAATGCGTTTCCTCAATCACTTAGGATCTCTGAAGAAAAGCTATGAAGGCCACGTAAGTGTAGGCAGGTGGATTTGAGGGTGTGGGATTGGATGTCTGGTCTGAATTTGAGATAAGGATCTGGGTGAAGAAACCACCGCAGGTGATCTTTAAAGAGTTTGGGAGAAGCGTGCTACCTAAATATTTTGGGGGAGCTTGATGCTAAAACATTTTTTCAAAGTGAGGCCAAAAAAGTTTTGATAGCCATCAGGAGGGGTCATGTAGTCTCTTTTTACTGGAAGGAGGGTGTAAATGGCTGACTGGAAATAAACTTGAATTTGTGGTTATGGGAGAGCCCTCTAAATGGGCCCATACTTTGAGTACAGCAAAGGTGTAGTCAAAGCATGAAATCAGCTGAAATCAGCTCTTGAAATTACTGAAATCAGCTCTTGTCTGAACCCTTTCAGGCTTGGTTTCTAGTAGGATCTGAAGTCTTATCAACAGGGTTTGAGCTGATGTGAATGAAACCATTAAAGCCCATCTTTCCCGGCGTAGCTGAGCCATTTGCTGTGAGGGAGAAATTCCAGGGCTGGTACCCCTGTAGAAAGCAACAACACTTTTTCTTACTCTGTTACAAGCTTCTCTCTGCAGTTTTTTGGCACAAATGCAGCCCTGCTGTACGCAGGCATCACGCCTTCCCTTGTGCTGGGCAATCGAGAGCTGGTTGCAACTTTTATATTATTTTAAGTGCATCAGTTAAGACTAGAAGAATTGAGATCACTCCCTCCCAACCTCAGCCATTGGGTGATTCCGGGGATAGGTTTATTCACTGCTGTAAGACTCAGCTCCAAACTGTGCTTTCTGGCAGTATGAATAAACCCGCTGTTGTTAGGTTGGGATATTTTGTTCTTAAACCACTGTATTTACATCTCTGCCAAAAATCTTTACATCAATCTGAAATTCTAGTTTTAGAAGCTGGTGGTTGTCTCCCACCTATTTCCATGCTTCTGTTCCCTGTCACTTTGTTGTATTATCGAGTTGAATGATAGAACTTTATCCATCCTTGTTGACAACTACGATGCTTATATTCTCCAGATGATTGGTCTTTATAGTGAGGTTCTGGACAAATTGGACAGAGCAAAAGGGTTTCTTCCCAAAGAAGAATAATGACAGCCACACTGCAAAAAAAGGGGGACAGGAGCCTCTTTTGGAAAAGTTCTGCTGAATGAAAGAGGCCGATAGCTCTGCGAAGGCACGGGGACACGGGAGCAGTGGAAAAGAAACCAGGATCTTCTTCTTGTTGGCAATTAAGTTATGTACTTTTTAGGAAATGTTTATTGCATAGATGTCATTGTTTTGCTCTCGGGAATATTTTTCATTCTCTGGAGCTATAGAACAGAAATACATCTCATGAAAAAGTTAAGTATTTATCTGCTGTTGTGTAAGAGTTTGGTTTAAAAAGCTGATTCTAGTAGTAAGTGGCACTGAGAACAATAAAAGTATTCCAAGACCAGGCATCTCCTCTGGGTGTCACAGCTGTCTTGCTACATAAATATTTATCAGAATGTTTAATTTTCAGTCCATTTCAGCATGGACAAGAAGTCAGAGCTGTTTGCCAGTTTCACGGTGTAGTTAGAGTAAGAAAGAGCAGGTACTACTTAGCTCACGGGAAAAGCTAAAGCTGGGTACTGGGTACTGCTGTCACCCCCCAGTCACAGCTCGGCAGGGGATCCCCCAAATCTGCACGAAAGCACCGGGTGGTGAGTGGGGGGATCTTACTGCAGCTGGACTGAAGAGGGATGGGATGGCACAACAGCTCGGCAGGGGATCCCCCAAATCTGCAGGAAAGCACCGGGTGGTGAGTGGAGGGAGCTTAGTGCAGCTGGAGTGAAGAGGGATGGGATGGCAGGGTGCTGGGTGTGATGGCAGGGTGCTGGGTGTGATGGCAGGGCGCTGGTAGGGTGTTGGGTGCTATGGCAGGGTGCTGGGTGTGATGGCAGGGTGTTGGGTGTGATGGCAGGGTGCTGGGTGCTGTGTTGGGTGTGCTTGCTGCAGTGGGTGCTGGGTGTGATGGCACGGTTCTAGGTGTGATGGCAGTGAGCTGGGTGTGATGGCAGGGTGTTGGGTGTGATGGCAGGGTGCTGGGTGTGATGGCAGGGTGCTGGGTGTGATGGCAGGGTGCTGGGTGTGATGGCAGGGTGCTGGGTGTGATGGCAGGGTGCTGGGTGCTGTGTTGGGTGTGCTTGCTGCAGTGGGTGCTGGGTGTGATGGCACGGTTCTAGGTGTGATGGCAGTGAGCTGGGTGTGATGGCAGGGTGTTGGGTGCTATGGCAGTGAGCTGGGTGCCATGGCAGGGTGCTGGGTGTGATGGCAGGGTGTTGGGTGTGGTGGCAGGGTGTTGGGTGCTATGGCAGGGTGTTGGGTGTGATGGCAGGGTGTTGGGTGTGATGGCTGGGTGTGATGGCAGGGTGTTGGGTGCTATGGCAGGGTGTTGGGTGTGATGGCAGGGTCTTGGGATTGATGGCAGGGTGTTGGGTGCTATGGCGGGGCGCTGGGTGTGATGGCAGGTTGCTGCAGTGGGCACTGGGTGCTGCAGTGGGTACTGGGTGTTATGGCAGGGTGCTGCATTGGGCACTGGGTGCTGTGTTGGGCACTGGGTGCTGTAGTGGGTAGTGGGTGTGATGGCAGGGTGCTGCAGTGGGCACTGTGTGCTGTGGTGGGCATCGGGTGCTGCAGTGGGCACTGGGTGCTGCAGTGGGTGCTGGGTGTGATGGCAGGGTGCTGCAGTGGGCACTGGGTGCTGTGGTGGGCACTGGGTGCTGCAGTGGGCACTGGGTGTGATGGCAGGGTGCTGCAGTGGGCACTGGGTGCTGCAGTGGGTGCTGGGTGTGATGGCAGGGTGCTGCAGTGGGCACTGGGTGCTGTGGTGGGCACTGGGTGCTGCAGTGGGCACTGGGTGTGATGGCAGGGTGCTGCAGTGGGCACTGGGTGCTGCAGTGGGCACTGGGTGTGATGGCAGGGTGCTGCAGTGGGCACTGGGTGCTGCAGTGGGCACTGGGTGTGATGGCAGGGTGTTGCAGTGGGCACTGGGTGCTGCAGTGGGCACTGGGTGCTGCTGTGGGTGCTGCCCGAGCCGTGCCCTGTTGCTGGCAGTGCCTGGCTGCCCTGCAGGCTCCGCTGGCTGCAGCTGTGTGCGGGCAGGAAGAGGAAGGTGCCTTTGTGGGGACAGTGCAGCAGGATGCAGAGATGAAAGCGAAAATAACTGTGTTCCCCGGGAGGTTACACACGTGTCCTTACTCCTGAGGGCTGCCCCAGGGGCTGCCTTTGCCAGGCTGAGGTGGTACAGGGGTGCTGCTCCCACCAACCTTCCCTGCTGGTACCCAGACACGTCCCCCGGGCTGCTGCTGCTGCTGAGGGCTCCTGTGAGACACAGGCAGGAGGATGGTGCTGCTGAGGATAAAATCCCCCCTTGGTGGGCTCAGGTGTAGCTGGGGTCTCTGTGCGCCGCTCTCTCACTAAGGAACACATAAGGACCTGTATAAAGCCAGGCCCTGAATGCCACCTGGGGTCCTTGTGGAGTCAGTTTTGGGGCTGTGTGCTGGCTCACACCCCGCGGGGCTGTACCCGGTGCCACAGGTGCCCATTGCTGCCTGTGGCACCTCCCTGGTTCTCACTAAGGAACACATAAGGACCTGTATAAAGCCAGGCCCTGAATGCCACCTGGGGTCCTTGTGGAGTCAGTTTTGGGGCTGTGTGCTGTACCCAGTGCCACAGGTGTCCATTGCTGCCTGTGGCACCTCCCTGGGCCCTGCCAGGAGGGCTTTAATTAGCATTCTCTGCTCCGACGCGCACACACACAGCAGGTGGAGGTGTCACACTGGGCCAGAGGAGAAGGCTGTGTCTGCCCAGGAATGCAGCAGTGGTTACACACCGCCAGAGAAGGCAGCAAGCACTGAATGTGTTCCTGCCTCCAGCCAGAATTGTTTGAATTTTTTCCTTGGAGATGCTCAGTTTGACTTCTTTTATGCTGCAGACTTCACCAAGGACTCCAGCTCAGACCCGCTGCAGACTCTGCTGATGGGGCTTCTCGCCTCCTCTCGGCACATTTTTGCATTGTACGTTTTATTCCAGGCTTAGCATCGACCGTAGGATTTATGTAGGGTGAGAGTTCCTCTCCTGGTTCAACCAGACCTTCATTAGCTGGATCTCCAGTGACCGCTCCCCAGGGCAGGGTGTGTGTCACCCTGCTTCACAGGAGTTTCCAAGGGTGGGTGCAGGCTGGTCCTGTGTTCATGGAGTCACAGAATTGTCAGAGTTGGAAGGGACCTCTAAAGACCATCCAGTCCAACTCCCCTGCCAAAGCAGGGCTGCCCAGAGCACATCACTCAGGAGCATCCAGGCGGGGCTTGAAGATCTCCAGAGAAGGGGACTCCACACCCTCCCTGGGCAGCCTCTGCCAGGGCTCTGCCACCCTCACCCCAAACAAGTTCTTCCTCACATCCCAGTGGAACTTCCCATGGTCCAGCTTGTGCCCGTTGCCCCTCGTCCTCTCACTGGGAACCACTGAAAAGAGTCCGGCTCCATCCTCCTCCAACCCACCCTTTGGACACTTGTCAGCATTGATAAGGTCTCCCCTCAGCCTTCTCTTCTCCAGGCTCAAGAGCCCCAGCTCTCTCAGCCTTTCCTCATCAGGGAGATGCTCCAATCCCTCCAGCATCTCTGTTGCCCTACGCTGGACTCTCTCCAGCAGTTCCCTGTC